TTCCAATGTGAATATGATATCCCGTCGTGGTACTGTGTTCCCGTTGAAGGTGTCCAGAAAGACGAGGATGATCCAGCTGGGCTTAGAAAAGTGCAACTAGGAACAGAGATGTCATCACCCTGCAGGGAAGTACAAGGTGATAAATGTGTTGCATAGACTGAAGACTACAGGATACTGAGGTCATCAAAGAGGCTTTTTAGGGAATGTCCGTTGAACTTTGTCCCTGTCCAAGTAAAATGAAAGGTACAGCCTGATCTATAACAGTCATATGAGCGCTCGTGAGTATCTGTCAGTATCTTGAATTTTATCCAAAAGCCTCTCAGTAATGTTCTAGTCTGTTGCTGGTTATGAGCTGAAGTTGTTGGCATATTAGAAAAATAAAAAAGTTATTATTTTTTTCTGAATTTCTGTGTAATTCAGTGGTTGAGATGTAAACCAAGTAATCTAGACTGTTTCAAAGTGAAATAGTTCATTGTAAAGAAACCTAATGACTCGGTGCTCATTTTCCTCATGTGGATGAACCTTCTCAGTCATTTTTGCATTGGGATGAATCTTCTGAATCATTTTCTTGGTGTGGATGAATCTTCTTCTGGGGTCACGATGTTAACCATTCAAACACAGCCATTTTATTTACTATCCAAAACAGTCAGTGAACCTCACGTCTTCAGTTCTATATGTAATGTAGACGAAGTTAAAATAGTGTTAAATGTTAAAATCTTCTGTGGAAACTATTTGGCCTCACAATGCCCTGCCTGTACCCCTCCGCAATGAAGTATTTTTAAAGCTGCACTTTCTTCAGGTACTACTTTGCCTCACGACGCCGTGCCTGTACCCCTCCACAGTTAAACATTTTTAAACATGTGCTTTCTTTGGGGACTGTTTTGCCTGCAGGCCCTTTTTCATCATGAATTGATGTAAAAAAATGTTTTAGACCAAAATATTTTCTCAAAACTATAATAAACAATGTCTCAGGCATCTGGCAGCTCATTCATAGCCATTTTCTGTGAACTTTTATGGGTATTAAATTCTGGTTCCTCACCACTCCTGTGAACAATTCTGACTCAGTAAGTTTCTCTACAGCGGTTCTGACGTCTGACCACTCGGATGATCACCTTAACGTTTAAAATTGGTGCAACTCCCCTTTAACTCTCCTGTCATCACTATGAAAATCTTATTTTTTTATTTAGATTTTTTATTTTTGTTGTTTCTTTTCAAAAACACCAGCTGCCCTTTATATTGTGTGAATGTTTCATGACGAATGGACCAGTAGAATCTTGTTCCATTAACATACAGTAAAGGTATTTCTCCTCCCTCTATATAGTTACTGTTCCCAGGTACAAGGTTCTGTTACCACAGCAGCGCTATAGTTCTCTGTGCTTTACAGGTTGTGATTATAAATCTTCTTCTATTATTTTTATGGTGTTAGGCCCATTTGGTGATAGAAGCCATACAGACAGACACATGGCTTAGTCCCTGTTAGTCAAGGAAAAGCTGACAGTTATTCCACGATACAACATCAACTAGTATGGAGTGCAGTCTCAGCAGGACGGATGGAAGCAGAGGTGAATAAAATGGCTAATGATCTATTTTGGTCATATGTAGTGATGAGACTTGGAGTGGATGAATCTTCCAAATCATTTTTCTTGGTGGGGTGAAGCCTCTGAATCTTTTTTTCTTTTTGGTGGGGATGAACCTTCTGAATCATTAAGAAGAATTAACCTTCTGAATCATTTTCACGGTTGAAATTAGCTTTCTGAATCCTTTTTTTGGTGGGGTAAACCTTCTGAATCAATTTCTTGGTATGAATGAACTTTCTGAATCATTTTCCTCTTGTTGATGAACTTTCTCAGTCATTTTCTTGGTTGTGATGAATCTTCTGAATCATATGCCTCATGGATGAACCTTCTCAGTCATTTTTGGGTTGGGATGAATCTTTAGAATCATTTTCTTGGTGTGGATGAACGTTCTCAGTCGTTTTTGGGTTGGGAATGAACCTTTTGAATCGTTTTCTTGGTGTGGATGAATCTTCTGAATCATTTTCTTGGTGTGGATGGACGTTTTGGAATCATTTTCTTAGTGTGGATGAACCTTCTGAATCGTTTTCTTGGTGCGGATGAACCTTTTGAATCATTTTCTTGGTGTGAATTAATCTTCTGAATCATTTTCTTGGTGTGGATGGATCTTTTGAATCGTTTTCTTGGTGTGGATGAACATTTTGAATCGTTTTCTTGTTGTGGATGAACCTTTTGAATCATTTTCTTGGTGTGAATTAATCTTCTGAATCATTTTCTCGGTGTGGACGGATCTTTTGAATCATTTTCTTGGTGTGGATGAACCTTTTTGAATCATTTTCTTGGTGTGAATTAATCTTCTGAATCATTTTCTTGGTGTGAATTAATCTTCTGAATCGTTTTCTTGGTGTGAATTAATCTTCTGAATCATTTTCTTGGTGTGAATTAATCTTTTGAATCATTTTCTTGGTGTAAATTTATCTTCTGAATCATTTTCTTGGTGTGAATTAATCTACTGAATCGTTTTCTTGGTGTGAATTAATCTTGTGAATCATTTTCTTGGTGTGAATTAATCTTCTGAATCGTTTTCTTGGTGTAGATGGACCTTTTGAATCATTTTCTTGGTGTGGATGAACCTTTTTGAATCATTTTCTTGGGTGAATAATCTTCTGATCATTTTCTTGGTGTGAATTAATCTTCTGAATCATTTTCTTCGTGTGAATTAATCTACTGAATCGTTTTCTTGGTGTGGATGGACCTTTGCATGTTGTTTTCTTCAGGTGAGAAGGGTTTTCCCTAAACGGTTAATGTCATCAGTGAATTACAACTATATTTCTCAGCATCAGGCCATCGTTTTTTTCAAAGTGCATTTTGGTGAATCTTCTCATAACGTGTCTGAATGGGGCTTTAGAGGCAGCATATTGTCACTCATCATTGTCTGCACCCTTGTGCTTTTTAGCCTGCGTACCAGGACTTGTGGAATGTGGTCCCGTGTTGGTTTAGCACTGAAAAAAGCTTTTCCGTCATGTCAAGCAGAATCTACTGTGTTGGCTTTTAGTCTGCTGGTTTGTGCAGATCACTGAGAAGACCCACACAGGCAAAAGGGTCATTTCATGACAGCTGCGTCTGTTTATGATGAAAAATGGACAAAAACACAAATAAACAGTAAATTCAAGTAAAGCCACTCCTGTAATAATTAGTGTTTTATGATTAACCACAAGAAACTACTTCAGTGGACTTTGAAGAGACAGTTTAAAACAGCTTTTAAGCTTTGGAATTTCATTCGTCCACTAATAATATTAATGGCACAGACAGTCAATAAAATAATGTGTTATTATGCTTAATAAGGCAGGAGGTCCAATATATTTGCATTTATAACTAAATTTAGATAAAATTGCCCTCCATTGTAAACTAATCAGTGAAGTTCTCTACAATGAACCATTTCCCATCAAACCATTCTGAATGCGTGTATTACATCTCAATGACTACAAAGAAGTTGTCGGGGAAAAAAGAAAAATGGAAATTTACTTTAACAAAAAATAAAAAAAACAATACAAATGTGATTGTGAACAAAAGCACTAAAATAACCAGTAATCAAAGGTCACTATTAAACATTCATTCGAGGTATAACTGTACAAAATATCATCACTTTACACCAATTACTTTACACCAGTCACTTTACACCAATTACTTTATACCAGTCACTTTACACCAATTACTTTACACCAGTCACTTTACACCGATTACACCACACTTTACACCAGACACTTCACACCAGACACTTCACACCAATCACTTTACACCAATCACTTTACACCAATCACTTTACACCAGACACTTTACACCAGCCAAAATACACCAATCACTTTTCACCAATCAGTTTACACCAATCACTTTACACCAATTACTTTACACCAATCACTTTACACCAATCACTTTACACCAATTACTTCACACCAGACACTTCACACCAATCACTTTACACCAATCACTTTACACCAATCACTTTACACCAATTACTTTACACCAGACACTTTACACCAGCCAAAATACACCAATCACTTTTCACCAGTCAGTTTACACCAATCACTTTACACCAATTACTTTACACCAGTCAGTTTACACCAATAACTTTACACCAATCACTTTACACCAGTTACTTTACACCAATTACTTTACACCAGTCACTTCACACCAATCACACTAATCACAATCACTTTACACCAATTACTTTACACCAGTCAGTTTACACCAATCACCAGTCACTACAGAGCCCCAAGAGGGACATGGTGATTTTTTTATAAGGCGTGGCCACAAATTACTATATTGAGGCAACAAGTTAAGTTTCTCATAACTTGTGGCCTCAATATATTAATTTGTGGCCTTAATAAATATAGTAACTCATGACCTTCATGTAGTAATTTGTAGCCTCATATAGTAAAATTTGCCTTCAATATAGTTATTTGTGGCTTCAGTATAATAATTTGTGGCCTCAACATAATAATTACTAACACAATAATTTGTGTCAGTAAATCGAGGCCTCAGTACAGTAATTTGTGGCATCGATATATTATTCCGTGGCCTCTCCTTATTAAAGATAATCTCCGTGTCAGATTAGCGGCTGTGGGTCACAGCCCGTCCTGTGGCGTTTCTGCTGGACGCGAATGAGTTAACTCTAGATTTTGGTGAAAGGATGAAGGGACCAGCCTTGTCCCTCTGTCCCTCTCCCAAAGCCTGTTTTGTGAAGGTTTAAACAGGCTGGTTTCTTTCCAGGCGCTCACAGACTGAGCGCTCCGTGCTCTGTCAGCTCAGGCTCGGCGCTCCCGTTAGCTTAGCGTCGGTTTGGCTTGGAGCCACCAGGGCGGCCACGTTCCTGGAGGCGCTCTGAGTGAGGATGAGGGTCAGGGAGGAAGAATTCACTCACATGAGGGCGATTAGGAGGCGGCCGGGGCGGTAGGCGTGGGAGAATCAGCCGTCGCTGAAACCCTACAAACTTCTAACGGGAGCCTTTTCAAATTCACCGCACGGACAGGCGAGGGCAGCATCCCGAGTTCATGAGGAGGCGGTGAGGAGTCTTCAGCTCGCGGTAAATACGCCTCTAACGCTGTGTACTTTACTAATGACCAGCGGTTAAGCTGTGGAACTGACTGGGTATCACATTCATATTGCAGGTTACGGCGGTTTTCAGCTGTAGGTGTTTGAGGTTGTCTTGTACAGTAGAACTGAACTGAGTTATGCGGCTCTACATTCAACAAAACGTTTCGTGAAAAAGTTGAGAAAAGAAAGAAAATAATCTATGAAATGTGTTGGAGTTTGAAATGATATTAAATAACCACCTATTTTTAAACTTTTTCCCAGGAATATCTGAAGTGATTTATCCAAAAACTCTGAAATATAGAGAATTCTGAAATATAGCCATATATGCACACATATGATAAATATATGGTCGTATATGTAGTGTACATGTATGTAAGTATCAAATATTGGGCATATATGCATAGTATATGTATCATACATGCATCATATGTCCATAATATGTTTGATACAAACACTGAAAGATATTTTAAAGCAAAGTACCAAAATTAAATACAAAAAACTTCTATAAGATGAAGCTGGTTTGAGTAATATATTCCATGCATATATATGAATAATGTTTTCTTATATAGTTTTAAATAGACATGTTATGTATATGTGTTTGTTTAATTTGATATATGGTTGAAATATAAGTCTCAAGTCACATATATGTCCATATCACTGCTGTCAGAGTAAAACCTTGTATCTCCATTTTTGTCATTTTTCAGTTTTTGTCATAATTTGAAAATGCCTGTTGCTCTTTATATTGTGTGTAAATTTAGGTTCCATTGACTTACATTAAAAGTAAAGTATGTTTTTCCTTCTCCTGTAAAGTTACCATTTTGGAGATATGGGTGTTTGTTCTGACACCAGTGATGTATAACAAAGTCTGTGTTGGGCCAGGAAGTTGATATATTCCAAAGTGTGTCCTATAGTCTGATTTCCGTATGGGACACAACACTCCTGACCTGTTGTTTTTGTTTGTGCCTTATAAGATGGTAGATCTGTGTAGTTGGGGCGGTTAATTGTGCCACTGCTGGAAAACACGTTAGCAACTGTAACTCAGTCTGGGTCTCAGATGGCTCCGTATGTCCTATGTAGTGCACTACACAGGTCACAGAATACATTTAGTGCACTATTTGCAATCAAATAACGCACTAAATGACCTAGGGAGGCGATACAGTTACTTTCGACTTCAATATAGTAATTTGTGGCCTCAATTTAATAATTTGTGGCCTTCATATAGTAATTTGTGCAATCAAATAGTGCACTAAATGACCTAGAGAGGCGATATAGTTATTTGCAACTTCAGCATAGTGATTTGGAGCCTTGGTGTAGTAATTTGTGGCCTCAATATAATAATATATGACCTATGTAGTGCACTACGTGGGTCATGGAATACATTTAGTGCACTGTTTGAAATCAAATAGCATTTAAGAACATTTACTGTTAAACTGTGTGTTGAACGATCAGCAGATCTTAATTTTACTGTAAAGGAGGATTATTTTATTTTTACCTACAAATCTAATTCTGCTGAGGAGCCACAACAGGGCAGTAAAAGAGCCACAGGTTGGCGACACCCTGAGTCAGCAATTGGAAGCTCTTTGGCTTCTATAGAGTTGAAGGGAAAAAGGACCTGGACCAGGAGTCACACTATATGCAAGTTGTGTCACACTAAACTAATATTTTGAAAATGATAAACATGAGAAACCATATCACACGTTTCCACCCGACTATATTTGCTGCCAACCAGAGGACCATCAAGCAAGTGATGTCAAAGCTCTCACCGAATTCGGAAGCGAATTACAGACTCTATCGCAACTTTTATTGCCAAGGATTTGCGTCCGTACTCAGTCGTTGAGAACCAGGGCTTTCGCGCTATGTTGCACACTTTGGAGCCGAGATACAGCGTCCAGTCTCGAAGATATTTTACTGAAACAGCGACCCCCCCCCACTCTCTACAACGATCACTAAAGAAAACGGATAGAATAGCTGTAGCATGTGCTGCGTGGACACCCACTGCCACAGGAACTTATGTCACCGTAACATTTTATCACAGATGAGTGGCAGTAGTGTCTCATGTGCTCCAAACAAGAGCAGTGAATGGGAGCCTTCCAGTTCACTTGCCTCATCGCTTCCGTTTGATTTATTAATAAAAGATATTGGAAGTAAATTCATTATGGATCATTACAAATACTTTGCTTTAAAAGTACCAAAAAAAATTCTGTATAGAAACAAAGATGCGTCGATAATCGTTTTATAATCGCATCACAGCCTCTGAATCGTAATCGAATCGAATCGTGAGGTGCCTAGAGATTCCCACCCCTAATCAATAATATTATTTTTTACTAACAGGAATCATATCACATTGTATTCAGTATTACTTCCAAGACGAGCATTGATAGTAGCTCCTTTTGTAGCTTTCCAGAGGCTGCTGACTGCCTTTCTCAGGCAGGTATATAGAGCCAATGGGGGGCTATCATTACAACTTAGCCTCTGTGATTGTGACCCAGTTTAACCAGAATAAAACAAGATGATGCTATAATGGCCTGATACCCAGTCAGCTACTTGTCACTATACACTTCATGCTGTCACTGTACTCTAGTTGTTTACAGGCTCTCTTTTATGATGCATGCAATTGTTCATTGTTCTAAAAGTACTGACGATAGATAGGACTGGGCAATATGACAATATTTAACATTATCATGATAAATTATGTCACAATATGTTTTTCTGAGCATAACGTTGATATCATGAGTACTTACAAACACCTCCCAACTGCATGTTTCATTACAAAGATAGTATAATTGGTCCTGTTTTAATGGATTGTGAAACATTAAGTACAAATCACTCATAGCTGTTGACAGTATTTATTAAATGTGTCACTACTTAGTTTCAATGTCTGAAAAAATAAACATTGTGACCTCATGTATCGTGAAAACTTCTTGAAGTATTGTGATATTAAGTTTTGGCCATATCGCCCAGCTCTGACAATAGCCATAATATAGCCTGTTTTTACCCTGTTCTTCAGTGGTCAGGACCCCCATGGACCCTCACAGAGCAGGTACTATTTGGGTGGTGGATCATTCTCAGCACTGCAGTAACACTGACGTGGTGGTGGTGTGTTAGTGTGTGTTGCGCTGGTCTGAGTGGATCAGACACAGCAGTGCTGCTTGAGTTTTTAAACACTGTGTCCACTCACTGTCCACTCTATTAGACAATCCTACCTTGTCAGACCACCTTGTAGATGTAAAGTCAGAGACGATAGCTCATCTGCTGCACAGTTTGTGTTGGTCATCCTCTAGTCCTTCATCAGTGGTCACAGGACGCTGCCCACAGGACTCTGTTGGCTGGATATTTTTGGTTGGTGGACTATTCTCAGTCCAGCAGTGACACTGAGGTGTTTACAAACTCCAGCAGCACTGCTGTATCTGATCCACTCAGACCAGCGCAACACACACTAACACACCACCACCACGTCAGTGTTACTGCAGTGCTGAGAATGATCCACCACCCAAATAGTACCTGCTCTGTGAGGGTCCATGGGGGTCCTGACCACTGAAGAACAGGGTAAAAGGGGGCTAACAAAGTATCAGAGAAACAGATGGACTACAGTCTGTAACTGTAGAACTACAAAGTGCACCTATATAGTAAGTGGAGCTGATAAAATGGACAATGAGCGTGGAAACAAGGAGGTGGTCATAATGTTATGGCTGATGTCTCTATTTTGAAAACACTGTGATTAATATTGCGCATTCGTGTGCTCGTAAAGGTGAAATGGAAAGATCGGCTTTCTGGGGCAGCTGCACTCATAGGTGCCTGCTGGTGTTCACCTCCGTCCTCCTGCTGTGTGAGATCGTGGTCGGCCGTCTCTGCAACTCCCTTATTAACACAGTGGACAGTTTCCACACCCTCTATGTCCTCATGCACTTAACCCTGCACCCATTGGAGACGCCGACAGGAGCTTCTGTGACCTCGATTACAAACCCCTACACCTCCCCAGATCCTGACGGACCGGTGCCACAGCATCTTACGTCGACCGCTGATGGCCCAGCACTAACTCCAGACTCAGCTTCAAGTACAACCCAGAACGATCACACTGTCACTGGTTCCGCCACTGACAGTGCCGCCTCTGAGGAAGACCAGTACAGTACTCTGCGTCTGCAGCCCTTCGGAGCTGCAGTCTCAGCTCTCCTACTGGGCTCTCTTTGTGTCTCCATCAGCCTTGAGATCATTACCCATACACTGCAGCCCCATGTCATAAAGCGCCCTCTGCTGGCCACGGTGGTAGGTGCGGCTAGCCTGCTGTTCAATACTCTAATACTGATCTGGAGAGGAGGCAGAGAAATGGATATAGGACTTGGTGGGATTAGCAAGGAGCTGACAGAGACACAGAGTGAGGCCTTCACCACAACAAATGATAAAGGTAGTATGCTTCATATTATCCTCTCAAATTCATTGACACAAGACATTGTTTTTCGATACTGTTGCCAATATTGAAACCTTAAAGGGCCCAAATCTTGTATTTTTTTGTCGATTTTTTTCTAGCATTTTTTAGCCGGAATGGAATCAGCCAGAAATGAACCCAATACCATTCTCCAAACTACATGGGCTGTAAGATGCTTTACAGATTGACTGGAACAAAACAACATTAATATTGATCTGGCAAAAAATGACAAAACTGAGCTGAACTTGATATTGCGGCAGTTTTATGGCTCAATCTGATTTGGTCAGACTCTGAAGATCAGACTACACGTTTGGCGAATGGTATGGGGTTCATTTCTGGCTGATTCCAGGTTGTTCGGCTGTTCTTCTGTCACAGCTGCCGACTGAAAAGCTGCTCAGTGGTGATGACAGTTTGGGAATTTAGTGTAAGGAGCTGGAGAACGAACTGCCGGCTGTGCAGCGAGTGAGCAGAGTTCGTTACTCTGACGTAGCAACAAGCTGCTTGTTAAGGAGCTATAATTTGGTGAAGGAACTGCGAACATTAAAACATATTAAACGCCGCGTTCACGGCCCAGTTTATTAATTTATTACTTTATTTATTTAACTGTTGTATAAAAGCAATAGAACACTCGAGGAGTGTGTTATCGCCAATAACATCACGGCTGTGATGATCTATGGCGACCAAATCACAGCCGTGGTGTTATTTCGCGATAACACACTCCTTCTCGTGATCTATTGCTTAATCACAATACATTGTTACACTACAATTCTGTTTCATTCTTTTTTTCCTTTGATATCTGATATTTTCTGCTGGTATCGACCCAATACTGATACTAGGTATCAGATCGGCTCCACCCCGAGTTAAGACTAAAATCTTGTTCTGTTTTGTCCTAGCAAAGAATAGTCAGCTTGGAGGGGGCACTACCACAGTGGAGGAGATGGGTCATCATGATCATTCAACTCTAGAAGGTTCTCTTTATGGTGGTGCACTGATGTTCTGTAACCCTGGAGCACCCAGTGTGCTGGATCCAGGCCAGTGCTCCAAAGAATGCTGTTCTTCCGTCTCAAGTTCTGAAACCCCAACAGCTCCCACCACTCACTCCTACCCACAGTCCAACCATGCAGAGAACTCCATCTCCCATCATTCCAATGATTACCAACAACCTCAACAGACACCTCAGCTGACAGACCCACTGAATGAGGTGGACAGCTACAATGCCTGTGTCGTCCACACTGGTGAGGAAAGCTTCTTAGCAACATACAGTCTTATAATGTTTCAGACACGTTGACTGTGACATTTGTAACTTTAGATAGAACAATTTACACTCATTTCAGATCATATACCTCATATCAGATAACAACCACTGAATTGATCTATCCATGCTCTGGCCAGTGCATTCAGTGCATTCTTTCATAGGCACTGTTGGTTGGACAAACTTTGCAGAACACTGGCAAAAACCCTATTCAATCTGATGAGACATTATAGCATACTGCTCAGTTCTGTCTAATGCCTACATTTAGAGTGCCTTATTAACTTGTAGTGTGTCTTGTAATATCACTGTGTCTTAACAACATAGGCTTTGTGTGGCTTGAAGGGACGCTCCAGCCAAAACGACAAATACAGGGTGATTTAAAAAGTCAATCCGATTTCAAAGTGCCATATTTTACAGCTGTGAGGCACCTAGGAACCAATCAAATACCAATTGTAAGAGGGGGTCATAGAGTTTCTGACAGTGAACCTCCAACAGCTCAGAGCGTTCGTCGCTGGTACCAACAGTTCCAAGAAAAAGGTCACCAGCATCACCAGATCTCACACCGTGTGACTGTTTTTTGTGGGGGTACGTTAGGGATTCTGTTTATGTGCCACTCCCAACAAAACTGGATGATCTCTGAAATCGCACTGAAAGAGCTGTGAGTGCAGCGACACCCGACATGCTCAATCCAGTATGGGGTGAATTTGACTATGGCGTTGATGTTGTCTGTACAGCTGGAGGAGGTTCACACTGAGACCTTGTACAACTACATAAACTTTATGCTCATTTAAACCATTTACAGTTTACTGCATTGATCTGTAATGATTTACAAGAGAAATCAATCATTTTGAAATCTTCATGGCAGCATCATGGAATAGGGGGAGACATTATCTGCTACAAAACAACTAATTTGTGGGCACAGCATGGATAGATCAATTATTGAAAAAGCTGAGATTTGGCATATCAACACACACCGATCAGGCATAACATTATGACCACCTCCTTGTTTCTACGCTCATTGTCCATTTTATCAGCTCCACTTACTATATAGGTGCACTTTGTAGTTCTACAGTTACAGACTGTAGTCCATCTGTTTCTCTGCATACTTTGTTAGCCCCCTTTTACCCTGTTCTTCAGTGGTCAGGACCCCCATGGACCCTCACAGAGCAGGTACTATTTGGGTGGTGGATCATTCTCAGCACTGCAGTAACACTGACGTGGTGGTGGTGTGTTAGTGTGTGTTGCGCTGGTATGAGTGGATCAGACATAGCAGTGCTTTACATCTACAAGGTGGACTGACAAGGTAGGAGTGTCTAATAGAGTGGACAGTGAGTGGACACAACACATACAAAGTATGCAGAGAAACAGATGGACTACAGTCTGTAACTGTAGAACTACAAAGTGCACCTATATAGTAAGTGGAGCTGATAAAATGGACAATGAGCGTAGAAACAAGGAGGTGCTCATAATGTTATGCCTGATTGATGTTTACTCTACTAACATACTCTGCTAATGATGTTTTGCACAGGCTGGCGTAACCAGGTGAGCAGCAGGCTGAAGAGGCAGAAGCGAGGCTGTATGAACAGCATCATCGCTGTGATACACAGCCTGCTGGGTTCCGTCCTGGTTCTTGCTAACGGCCTGGCCCTTCTTCTGTTTGGTGCTGACTGCCTGCAGCCTCACTGGGCTTGTCGTCTACTCCCTTATCTGGACCCAGTCTTCTCCTTGGCGACCGTGCTGGTTCTGATAGCCAGGGCCCTGCCAGAGCTCCGGCAACATGCCTTAATGCTGCTTCAGGCTCCCCCAGCACACGTGCATGTGGAGGAGCTAACAGCCAGCATCGGTCGTGTGCCGGGTGTGTTAGCGATTCACGAGCTTCATGTGTGGCAGCTATCTGAGACGCGTCTCGTGGCGTCTGTCCATGTTCACTGCCCATCGGGAATGGGAGCGCTAGAGTGTTCTGAACTCCTGGGGGCGGTCACAGAGGTCCTTAACCGTTTTGGTGTGAGTCGCTGCACTGTGCAGCCGGAGTTTGTCGCCATTCACAGTAACGATCCTCAGTCTCAGGCACGGTCAGCAGTGCCAGACACAGTGGACGCTGCAGTGCAGCCATACTGCAGCCTACGTTGCGGGAAGGAGTGTGCTAGGAAAATGTGCTGTGCACCTCCAGAAGTGCATCCCTGCCCTACAGCGCCCTCTGCTGTGGACATGGATGTGAGGCATCAGGACGTTGTCATTGAGAACACATACCTATAATGGCGATAAAGAAATGTCACTAAACGTCAGTGGAAACCAGCAGGCATCAATTAATACAGTTCCATTTGCTGAATGCTAATTGGTGCCTGTTCGTTTTCATGTAGTGTTAAGGGCGAATTAAAATATCTACATAATTTAATCATCGAGATGTAAACAGTGTCATTCAGAGTGGTTTGAGTGAAACACTCGATCCCTTGCCCCTCTGAGGGCTAACACCCTTCACTTGAGCTAATAAAGCATAGATATACATACCTAGACGCCGCATTGGGTCCAGTCAGGCACGTCAACGGTGCCGCCATTTTAGGGAGGTCAACATCGCTGCTGGACTGCGTTCAGTACCATTACAGAGCGGCAGTTTAAGAAAGATACTGTCCAAAATTACACTGTTTCAGGAACATTACACTCAGAAAGTGGGATAGGATTATATAACAGAGGGAACGCAGTGATCCACACTCATGTTTGTGTGATGCGGATTGTTTGTGTGATGTTTATGTGTAGATATGGTTGTGTGGTTAATGAGGCACAGAGAACCTGATGATGTGATTGTTTTTCCTTTGGTTTTATATTAAGCTTATTTCATTCCGCACCATTTAAGGTGGAACGGGAAAACTCGAAGAAGCTGGCGAATAGGAAGCTACCTTATTTTTATGTGTATTAAGATTAGAAGTGATTCACTCATTGATGGATTTGCTGATGTGTCTGATTATGTTTCTCGCGCTAAACTCGGTTTTTAACGTCAGGTGCAGACTAAATACTTTCCTGCTGGTCTGAATGGCTAATTATCACGATCAGTTACTAAAGTAATAAAAGCTCCCGAGAGCAGATCCATGCAGACTAGATTAATCTGTGTTTGAGGATTATAACAAAACAAATGTGGTGAAAATCGGTTGAGTAATAAGGAAGTTGTGGCCGATTTAATCCTGAGACTCGTCATTTCTTAATACAAGTGAATTTGTTTATAAGCAGATTATGACCTCTCCAACATGGCGGACATGCAGACGTATCGCCTCAGATAGAGAACAACAGACAGCGTGTCATCTAGGAATGTGTATCTATGGAACATCCCTAAAGATGGCGCCAGGGATTCCCTTGACAGGAAATGATGAGGCCCAGTGGATGAGGATTTGTTAGAATCGGTATAGAAACCGAAAGCAGGAACTATTTTTCTCAGTGGCATCTAGATAAACATGGCAAAGCGAGCTCTCCTATTGGTTTAGAGCTGAAGAGAAGGCCCAACACTACAAAGTAAATAAATATGCTTATATGTCATAAACTTCAAATAAAATATGTAATATCTTTTAGAAACTTTAAATGTCTGTGTTTAATTTAGAACCACCTTTCAAATTTACCGTTCCACCTTATATGGTGCCAAGTTGCTGTTAGCTCAGCGCTAACAAGCTATTAGACTTCACAGATGCTCGCAGATGTTGGCATAAATGTTGAGGTGGTTTTTTCCTCATGTTTTGACCTAGTTTCCACTTTAATGGCCTGATTTGAAGTCCTATTTCAAATAGTCGCGGTTCACCACTGGCTTTTAGAAGCGGCTCTTCCTGTCACCACCACTGTGGACAGTTCTGACTCTCCACAGCGAGCATTTCACATCAAACCACTGGCTTTGTTTTCATCTTAATGGTTTCATTATGCAGAAGTAAAAAATCGATGAATTTACGTTTCTGATTTTTTTATTGAACTTTTCCTTTAAGTGCTACATTTCTTACAGACGTCTCTCATTTGCTGTGATCACAAAGTGAAATATGAAAGAATGGCACTGTAACTTTGTATATCAGTGTTGTTGGATTTGCATGATGGTAACGACTGTGGTGTAACTGTACCAGGTGTCATACAGCCACAGACAACAGAGTGACGTTGTGAGCTTGTTGTTTCTTACTGCTTGACCAAAGATTCCTTTTTATAATAAATGTAAAATACTGCAAATTTCACCAAAGACAACACAAAGGGCTAAAAAAGATACTCAAAGATTCTCATTTCTCTAAGATTATATTATGTACAGCAAGTTTTAGAAGTTACAAATGATATTTGTTACATGTTCTTGAAATATACAGATCAGGCATAACATTATGAGCACCTCCTTGTTTCTATGCTCATTGTCCATTTTATCAGCTCCACTTACTATATAGGTGCACTTTGTAGTTCTACAGTTACAGACTGTAGTCCATCTGTTTCTCTGCATACTTTGTTAGCCCCCTTTTACCCTGTTCTTCAGTGGTCAGGACCCCCATGGACCCTCACAGAGCAGGTACTATTTGGGTGGTGGATCATTCTCAGCGCTGCAGTAACACTGACGTGGTGGTGGTGTGTTAGTGTGTGTTGTGCTGGTCTGAGTGGATCAGACACAGCAGTGCTGCTGGAGTTTGTAAACCCCTCAGTGTCACTGCTGGACTGAGAATAGTCCACCAACCAAAAATATCCAGCCAGCAGCGTCCTGTGGGCAGCGTCCTGTGACCACTGATGAAGGACTAGAGGATGACCAACACAAACTGTGCAGCAGCAGATGAGCTATCGTCTATGACTTTACATCAACAAGGTGGACCAACAAGCTAGGAGTGTCTAATAGAGTGGACAGTGAGTGGACACAGTGTTTAAAAACTCCAGCAGCACTGCTGTGTCTGATCCACTCAGACCAGCGCAACACACACTAACACACCACCACCATGTCAGTGTTACTGCAGTGCTGAGAATGATCCACCACCCAAATAGTACCTGCTCTGTGAGGGTCCATGGGGGTCCTGACCACTGAAGAACAGGGTAAAAGGGGGCTAACAAAGTATCAGAGAAACAGATGGACTACAGTCTGTAACTGTAGAACTACAAAGTGCACCTATACAGTAAGTGGAGCTGATAAAATGGACAATGAGTGTAGAAACAAGGAGGTGGTCATAATGTTATGCCTGATCAGCGTATGTAACATATTTTAAAATATTTTCTTTAACTCCATGAAGTCTGATTTCTAAACATTTCTAAACATCCATAACATTTATTTATTGTATTGTATATTGCAGTATCTATAAATATTGATGTATTATTTTATTTTTCTGTTTCAGATTTACAGTGGTATGCAAATTAGATTTTGTAAGTAAAAATAAGTTAATCAACCACAGAGAACACACTGCTGCACATTTTAATGCACAATTACTGTTTCTTGCTGAACATGTGGCCTGTGCAAAACTTAGAGCACATTTTGTATTTCATATTTAATTTTTTTTCCCAGTATGTTCAACTGAGCAAATAAATAGAAATTGTGCATCTTATTGAAAAATGTCATATTTTTATTTGCTCCCTGTGTGTAAACTTATTTTCACTCATAAAACCTACAAAATGTAATTGGAGCAGGAGTGCCCAGACCTTTGCATACTGTGTGCATATTATATATTTTAACTATACTTATATATAAAACATTTTTATTTCAACTACTTCAAACAACTGCTTGTTTTTATTTTATTGTTTAATTTTATTTTAACACAAGGTGGCATTTGTTTGCTATATATTAATATGTCACATACATAACATTATACATGCACACACACACACTTTCTAAACCGCTTATCCTCCTGGGTCTGTTGAGTGCTGGAGCCTATCCCAGCAGTTACATAACATTGTTATTCATTAATTGTTAAAATATGTTTATCATTTTATTCAATAATTTTACTGTTTTACTTTATTTTACCACATGGTGGCAGCTGTGAATTTGTTGCTAAATTTTGAAATACATAACTTTATCTTACCTGTCCGTCTCTCTGTCTGTCATTTATTTTATTTTATCTTACCACATGGTAATATATACAAAATACATAATGATGTCATATTTCTTCGTTTTTTCATTTGCTGAATTATCTTTTTCTTTATTTTGATTATTTTACTTTGAAAAATGCATAACTTTATCCTGTCTATCTATCTATCTATCTATCTATCTATCTATCTTTTCTTTTTTACATTTTTACTTTGTTTTATTTTATTTTACCACACAGTGGCAGCAACGTATATACACCGATCAGGCATAACATTATGACCACCTCCTTGTTTCTACGCTCATTGTCCATTTTATCAGCTCCACTTACTATATAGGTGCACTTTGTAGTTCTACAGTTACAGACTGTAGTCCATCTGTTTCTCTGCATACTTTGTTAGCCCCCTTTTACCCTGTTCTTCAGTAGTCAGGACCCCCATGGACCCTCACAGAGCAGGTACTATTTGGGTGGGGGATCATTCTCAGCAGTAACACTGACGTGGTGGTGGTGTGTTAGTGTGTGTTGTGCTGGTACGAGTGGATCAGACACAGCAGTGCTGCTGGAGTTTGTAAACACTGTGTCCACTCACTGTCCACTCTATTGGACACTCCTACCTTGTCAGTCCACCTTGTAGACATAAACTCAGAGACGATAGCTCATCTGCTGCTGCACAGTTTGTGTTGGTCATCCTCTAGTCCTTCATCAGTGGTCACAGGACGCTGCCCACAGGACTCTGTTGGCTGGATACTTTTGGTTGGTGGACTATTCTCAGTCCAGCAGTATATATATATATATACATATATTGTTCGACCACACGGGGCAGCAGTGTACGTGTTGCTGTGCGAGCTGAGCGGAAGAGCCGCTGCTGTCTCAGAGCCACCGCAGCGCCGCGGCAGCAGGATGGGGACTCGGTGTTTACCGCTCTTCTTCCTCTCCACACTCTTCCTCTTCCACGCTGCGGCCGACAACGGCAGCGTTAAGAAGCTCAGAATGCAATACACGACCGGACCTCTACTCAAATTCCAGATATGGTAAGGAAAGAGCTTCGAACAGGCGAGCAACGCAGGTAGTTAGCCGAGTGGCTAACAGCGCTAACAGGTTCGCTCCGTTCGAACTCAGCACGTCTTTCTGCCGAACTTAATATCGGCCGGTTAAACGTTAAACTCCCGGTTTATAGGTTTAGACACGCAGTCCGGTAAGTTGTTCTAGCCTAATTAGAGAAAACGCGACGTTTACTGAGTGAATTTGCTGTTATTACGAGGCTGAAGTTCTTCCTATTCTCCAGCTTCTCGTTCGAATTTTCCCGGTCCACCTTAAACGGTGCAGCAGTTACATTCTGCTACAACATTTAAGGTGGACCGGGAAAATTCGAACCATAAGTGGACTCGGGCTTCGGTATTATTTCTGAGTGAATTGTTGTGTTTCGTTAGTTAACCTTAGTGGAGCTAAGCTGGCTTACATTATTTGACTGACTGGATTTGGTGCTGAAGAGAAAAGGTCAGTTTACAAAGGAATTGTTTTGTCCAATTTATCGATTTGTAGCGTCTGAATTACGATATGAAGTGTCTGCTCGAGCTGTAGAGTATAGCTAGTTATCTAATGAGTACCTGTACTTTAAAGCAGATTCCACTGATTGTTAAAAATTGCATTATTACATTTTGAAAAGATGTTTAAGATGCAGTGAGGGTCATTCAGAGTACGACGGCGTTTTAGGGCCACTGTTAATAAAAATAAAAACAGTAGACTTCGAGGATAAAGAGGTCTAACTGTAGGGGGGCTGCCATAACGCGTTGGGGTCTCGGTTGCTGTACTGGCGCCGGAGCTCCACTCACTCCTGTCTCTCTGTGGATCATTCTGATCATCATTCTCACTGTCTGTGAAACTTCATGCCCTCTTTGAATGGTGTGGAGATGTAGCCGCGATAGCCGTGTAGACGACCCTGCCTGAGATTCTCCTTCAACAACACAGACAGACAGTTTCCTCCGAGTCCGTCTGGCTCTTTATTCTAGATAAACAGTTTCCTTCTCAGCCGTTTCAGCCGGTTCTTATACTAATAACAGGCTGGTGCTGATGTGCAGGAGAGACAGGGAGACTGAGTGTTTCTTTATGGGTGAATCGATATGAAAGTGTAACTCCACCAACTCACCGCCCCTCATTTAACATGAGGAGGTGCTGCCTTCACTTCGCAAAGCCTTTGGCCACAATATTGACCTTTCCTGGTGTTAATGCCACTTTAATGTCCTAATTCTACAACTTTTTTCTCGAAATAGTACGACTTTATTCTCGAAGTCTACTATTTTTATTTTTATTAACAGTGGCCCTACAGCGCCGTCGTATTCAGAGTGGTTAGATGTGTTGTAGAGAAATTACAGAGTTAGAATTGTTCACCGTGCTGGTTATAGCAACCAGACATCTGTAGTGTTTGTTGCTTCTAAAAACTAATGTTTTTTCCCCAAAACTTTATTACACAAAATGGTTGTGAATACACTGCCTGATGCCTGAGACACTGCTCTATGATAGTTTTGACATTGTTTTGGCCTAAAACATGTTTTAAAATCCATTCATGGTGGTGTGGTACATGCAGGGCACTGAACGGCAAAATAGTCTCCAATGAAACCTTTTCTTTTTCAGATTTACCATCATCAGCATTGCATTTAAAAACAGAAGAAATGTGTAGATTCACTTGCCATTTTGGATAGTAAATAAAATGGCTGTATTTGCGCGGTACACATTTTCCACTACATTTATGGCTCATTTATCCAGCGCGACTTAAAATTTTTGATCATTTTACACAGGTAGGTGAAGGCAGTGTTAGGAGTCTTGCCCAAGGACTCTTATTGGTATAGTGTAGGGTGTTTACCCAGGTAGGGATTGAACCCCAGTCTACAGTGTGGAAGGCAGAGGTGTTACCCACTACACTATACCAACCATCATCACATTGCATCACAACCCCTGGTTCCAACCACTGCCATTGTAAGGAAAGGAGTCGGTGAATTTCTCTACACTGTACAGTTTCCTATCACACTGCTCTGAATGACTTTACATCTCACTGAGTTTGTGGAATTCACCTTTTAATCAAAATACTGTTTCGTGTTATATTTGTTTAGCTTAAAAGTAGAAATACGAACAAACACTGTTGTTTTTCCCTCCCTTCCCACTATATGCTGTGAATCATGTGTGTCACGTCTTTGTCTACAGCATATCCTGAGGATATAAGCGGGTGTTTGAGGAGTACGCTCGGGTTCTGAACCAGAGGTACCCAGACATCCGCATAGAAGGGGAGAACTACTTGCCCCAGCCTATATACAGGTGAGTGGTCTCTTTATGTGTATTTAAGTACAGCGTGTGCCTTATGTATATGTTTTCTTCAAGCATGTCTTCATTTTCCCCTTGCAGACACATTGCTTCCTTTCTGTCCATGTTTAAGCTCGCTATAATCGGCCTCATCATTGTGGGAAAGGACCCGTTTGCACTTTTTGGTGTGGAAGCCCCTGGAATCTGGGCTTGGGGTCAGGAGAATAAGGTAAGGATATGTAGACCTTTAACAAGTAAAGAGAATAAGGGAATAACGCCGGGACTCATGGGGTTTTAAGGTGTAGCCCACATCATAGGTCCTATTGGGATGTTGTTAATCATGTCTAGTGGGGGGGTTTGCGTCAGCCTCGGTTTCTCTTGGTAATCGTGAAATAGGAGTGTGAAGAGCTGAGGGCCATTATTGTTTTTGACTGAAACTTGCATCCAAATGAATGCTTGCTGCTTATGATACTGCAGATACACCAATCGGGTATGACATTATGACCCCCTCCTTGTTTCTACGCTCATTGTCCATTTTATCAGCTCCACTTACTATATAGGTGCACTTTGTAGTTCTACAGTTACAGACTGTAGTCCATCTGTTTCTCTGCATACTTTGTTAGCCCCCTTTCACCCTGTTCTTCAGTGGTCAGGACCCCCATGGACCCTCACAGAGCAGGCACTATTTGGGTGGTGGATCATTCTCAGCACTGCAGTAACACTGACTTGGTGGTGGTATGTTAGTGTGTGTTGCGCTGGTCTGAGTGGATCAGACACAGCAGTGCTGCTGGAGTTTTTAAACACCTCAGTGTCACTGCTGGACTGAGAATAGTCCACCAACCAAAAATATCCAGCCAACAGCGTCCTGTGGGCAGCGTCCTGTGACCACTGATGAAGGACTAGAGGATGACCAACACAAACTGGGCAGCAGCAGATGAGCTATCGTCTCTGACTTTACATCTACAAGGTGGACTGACAAGGTAGGAGTGTCTCATAGAGTGGACAGTGAGTGGACACAGTGTTTAAAAACTCTAGCAGCACTGCTGTGTCTGATCCACTCAGACCAGCACAACACACACTAACACACCACCACGTCAGTGTTACTGCAGTGCTGAGAATGATCCACCACCCAAATAGTGCCTGCTCTGTGAGGGTCCATGGGGGTCCTGACCACTGAAGAACAGGGTGAAAGGGGGCTAACAAAGTATGCAGAGAAACAGATGGACTACAGTCTGTAACTGTAGAGCTACAAAGTGCACCTATATAGTAAGTGGAGCTGATAAAATGGACAATGAGTGTAGAAACAAGGAGGTGCTCATAATGTTATGCCTGATCGGTGTATGTTAAGTTCAGTCTTTTCTCTCTCTTGTAGGTATATGCTTGTATGATGGTGTTTTTCCTGAGTAACATGATGGAAAACCAGTGCATGTCTACCGGCGCCTTCGAGATATCACTGAATGGTATGGGCTTTTTTGTTTTTGTGTTTTGTTGGGTGTCTTTTGTTGATTTATATGAAGATTTTTTATGTCTTGTAGTTGTAATATGCAGAAAAGTTGTGAATTTTTCCAGATGTTCTGCAAACTGGCCTTGTTCTGTGTTTGAGTGCAGATGTGCCTGTTTGGTCCAAGCTAGAGTCCGGCCACCTTCCCTCCATGCAGCAGCTGGTTCAGATCCTAGAGAACGAGATGAAGCTGAATGCGCATATGGACACTCTGCCCCTCCAGCGCTCTTAAGTCAAGATGGTTGGGCAGTCAGAGTTATGCCCTTTCCTGTAAGTAGTAGGGAAACTACTGGTGAAATGATTGTTCATTTTTAGGATACGTTCACACAGCAGGTAAAAGTGGACCAAGTCAGATTTTCTCATCAAATACGATGTTTTTGTTTGGCTGTTCAGATTATCTTTTAAATGTGATCTGTACGAGACATCAGTCTGAACAGATCAGCTCCTAAACTGACCCACATGCACAAAAGAACAGAGCATCACGCTGCTTCACGGCTCATCCAGAGGTAAACAATCACGACCGCCAACGAACGCCAGTCGCTCCCAGAGGATCAGCTTCATCTTCACCAGCATCACAGGAGCCATCATGAAGCTTCGCTGACTGACAGCTGGGCTCATCACCCAGAATGTGTTCAAGCTCACCGTTAAAAGGGCACGGTCACTTCTTTGGTTTGCGTCCTCAGATTCTTTAAACTTTTTTATTTTTGACGCTGCAGCCTCATTTTCCTACGGCTGCGTTCGGCTGTTTTGTTCGCAATCTCTTCGAACACAAAGTGTTTTTGGAGTCTCTTCTAATTTTTGTATAGAAACATCAGCCGAAATGTTTATAAGTCTGAGCAGCGCAAAATTATGACAAATGCCGAATTGGATTGACATAAAAGTCTTATGAATTCATGAGTCGCATTGCCGCAGGTCGGATACGTATCGGATTTCAGTACCACATATGAAAGCGTCTCAAATCGGAACTGAAAATGTCAGATTTAGTCTGTTTATCTGTTCGTACTGAAACACAACAGGGAAATTCTCAGTGTTACGGCAGCAAAGGGAGAGCAAGACACTCAATAAAAGAAATTTAACAAGAAGAGAATTAACAAGCAAGTAATTAACTTTGTTAATTACTTAATAAGGTTTTTACAGTTTGTTACGGGTTACTATATAGACGATATATATAACTGAAAGTAAAAAATAAGATAAAAATATAAACTATCCTTCACAAAAAAAAATAATATAAAGAATTATAAATACAAAGAAAGCTAAGATATTTACACTATAAGGATATTTTGCCTGAAATTCATATGGAGTTTTGCACATGAGGTACTGGTTTATATTACACATGGAAATGGTGGGGAGTTAACAATAAAAACATTATAAATAGAAAAGCAAATAATCAGGCCCAGATATTATATATGGACGGATAGTTCCGTCTCTAAAATCTGTTTGGTTGAGCCACATATGAAGCTCTTGTCATACAGTCACTTAATTCTGTTAATGAATGCACCAAGTTATGAAATCCTCTTGTACTTTTCATGTCAAGTATGAAAAAGATAGGAATCACATGCATGCAAAAGAACTTTGTATAGAGTCCTAGAGCCCATGTAGTCTTATCAGGTAGTTCAAACACTACAGAACGAATCCAAATGTCTGTAAGCAAAGGGACTCGCAGTGTAAATAACATGCAGAAGTTGTGTAATTTGGAGCTGTAATGTATTTTGTAAAGCCAGCCATGATTGCAAAATAAACTATTTCATTTCCCTTTTTGGAATCTTTGACAGCTACAGCTACCATGTTAGTAAAGCTTGAACCACAACCTTCAAACCTTCAAATGTGATTTTGAGCCCAGCCCCAGTTTCTGATTTTATCTTGAGTCTCTTTATGAGATGTTAAGTGGCTTAAAACTGTACATTTTTGGCGATTTCCCTGCTGTAGCTCCCTAGAATAAACTTATTACATAGTCATCATGGGTCTCCAGCAATGAGAGCGGAAACCAGAAAGGTCTAAATTATTCTCGAAATACAGGGTGATTCAAAAAGATTCATCCAATTTCAAAGGGGCATGTTTTTACAGCCGTGAGGCGCCTAGGAACCAATCATAATCCAATTGTAAGAGAAGGGCTTAGAGTTTCGGACAGTGAACCTCCAACAGCTCAGAGTGTTCGTCGCTGGTACCAACAGTTCCAAGAAAAAGGTCATCAGCATCACCAGATCTCACGCCGTGTGACTGTTTTTGTGGGGTACGTTAGGGTTTCTGTTTATGTGCCACTCCCAATAACACTGGATGATCTCCGAAATCTCACTGAAAGAGCCACGAGTGCAGTGACACCCGACATGCTCAGTCGAGTATGAGATGAGTTTGACTATGGCGTTGATGTTGTCCGTACAGCTGGAGGAGGTTCATACTGCGATCTTGTACAATTACATAACAAACTTTATGCTCATTTAAACCATTTACAGTTTACTGCATTGATCTGTAATGATTTACAAGTGAAATAAATAATTTTGAAATCGCATTAATCTTTTTGAATCACCTGTATATAAGCCCCTGTCTGCTGGTCACTTTAATACTTGTTCGCTGTTACGTTTGAGATTTAGTGCTGACTGTTTTTAACATACCTGCCCTCACTCTCTCTCTCTCTCTCTCTCTCTAGGTATACGACGGGAGTTCCCGGTCAGTAAGGTGGCTCTAATGAAGGTCTGCACTGAAGGCAGTGCGTCTGCTAGTGTAGACTGGATGTCCTCGTCCGTTTTACTGCTACTTGTGGGATTCCTGACGTGCACAGTGGGTTAACCGCCTCTGGCTTAGCAATGGTTTTATCGTAACGGTGGGAAGTCTTATTTGAAACGTGCTTGTGGACTCTAAACAATATGCAGTAGGCAATATCTTACTAAGTTTAGCTATTCATTGTTAATCAGTAAGCAGTTTGATTAAAGGTGCTGTCAGTCAGTGAGAGTGAGGGATGTGCTTTTCAGTAAGTTTCCCATCATATTAACTGTATTTCTGTAAGACGTTTTGAGGGCCAAAGTTGTATGTTTATCACTGAAAACACACTTTTTCCATGCAGCTTTTTTTTTTGATACTTATGCATAATTTTACAGATTGAATAATTTTGTCTGATGGTAAACAAACAAACAAACGCACAGGTGTAAATTATTGTGAATTTGAATGGTCAAAGAGTTTTATCTATATCCAAATCTTAGCTGAATACAAATGAAATATGTTTATGCATATTTATCCAGATCATGAAATGTACTTCAGACTTAATATATTTCAATTTGTTGTGAATTTTTTTTTCAATGTTTCTTTTTATATGCTTAATTGAAATAAAATAACATGTCTAAAGTTGCTGTTTGCAGGCTGGTTTATTAAGTGAAAACGCAGCAGGCTACTTAACTCATCGTTGATGATGGGTAGATTGTGCAGTTTTCATAAGAGTGACAGAAAGATTTAATGAAATGTTCCTAATTATTAATAATCAATAAACTAAATATTAGCTAACTTGAGCATTTGGAGGTCTCCTGACAAAGGTAATATTGGGAAACAGGCTATAGACTGCATGCATTTGGGATGTCACCTCTAAAGACAATGAACTCAATGAACTCTTGAAACTCACAAAAAAGAAACTGTACAAAGTGTAGCTGCAAATTAGGGCTGAAAGGAGGGGAATTGTTGGATGGCAGTATAAACTATAAACTCCTTGAGACCACCGGTGGTTCCAAAACGCACTTCGTCATATTCTTCATTACTTTCATATTTCATAAACTACATTCTAAAGGTGGGGGTCGTATGAGAGCTGTAACTGTCTTCTTTCCAGTCAAATAGATGGGTCATGTCATTTTAAACCATTATAATAAAAGAAGCTGAACTCAAAATTTTTTTTCTACTGAAAGTCGCCTCATTTTTCCACAAATCTGGGCTATAAACTATAAACAGATGGCGTCTCTTCAGTGATCTGCTCTGTAAAAATTATTTTTATAAAAAAACACAAAGAGCGTCTAAGATTTTTGGCTTTCAGCAGTAAATTGTAAGCATATAGCAATATGTGATCATAAAACACATGTTCTGTTAATTTGAGGGAAACTTTTACAAAAAAATGAATGAATAAAATAAAAATTTGCATGTATTTCATGCAGTTACTGAATAATTTGCCTTACGATTTGATCATGTAAATTCAGATGGACAAACCAAAATATACCCTGGAGAATAAGAGGTTAAGTGAAAACGAATAAAGGGGGAATTGTGTTAGATGACAGTACAAATGATAGCTGAAGTGAACTCCTGAACTTGGGTGAAGACGCTGTGTAAGATGACCCTGTGAGGGTGGAACAGCCTGGTACAACCAGGTCAGAATGGTTTTAAAAAGAAGGACATCATGAGCGTTTGGTTTTAAGGGTTGCCAAAAAGGGTGCAGGGTTTGGATACAATGGGGACTAAGGTGGTGCCACTTAAAGCTCAATAAAGAGAGGGCCTTTTCCTTCCTTCCACAAGACTCAGCAGCTGAAGTCTTTTATTCCTTTTTATTCATTTTTATCCTTTTTTATCCTTTTATTCCTTTAATTCTGTTTAAAGAAGTTAGACTACAGTTAGTTATTAGGGCAATAGTATAGAACCTATTAGAGACACTCATATATGTCTAGACCCTGTGCAGAAGAGACAGCTCTTGGTCACAAGACTACAGACAGAATTGAGAAACAGCAGTGAACACAGAGACGCTGAATATTTTCGACTTGGTTTTATTGAGATGAGCTGCTGCGCTTTAGGATTTAATAGGAATTCATGGTGTCCCTGATCCAGGCGTTGTAGTTGCAGACCTTGGCGTAGACACCGGGCTTGTTCCTCTGGGCGCAGCCGTAACCCCAGGAGACGATGCCCTGCAGCTGGCCGTTGCACACCACGGGGCCGCCGGAGTCACCCTGGCAAGAGTCCTTGCCTCCCTCCAGGAATCCAGCGCAGAACATGTTGGAGGAGATCTGGCTGGGGTAGGAGTTCCTGCAGGAGCTGTCGCTCAGGATGGGGGCGTCCAGGCACATCAGGCGGTCGGGGTAGTTGCTGCTGCTGCTGCTGGTGTTGCCCCAGCCGGAGATGAGGCAGCGGGTGCCGGCGGCGGCGCAGCTGGTGGGCAGGGCCACGGTCTTCACGTAGCTGTTCAGGGTGGCGGGTTGGCTCAGCTTGATCAGCATGATGTCGTTGTCCAGGTTGCTGCTGCTGTAGCGGGGATGCCTGACCACCACGGCGGAGCTGATGAACTGCTCGGTGCCCTCGTTGACGGCGATGTTGTGCTCTCCCAGGCGCACCTGGATGCGGGACTTGTAGCAGTGAGCGGCGGACACCACCCACTGGCTGCTGATGAGGGAACCGCCGCAGAAGTGGTAGCCGGCGTTCAGGGACACCTGGTAAGGCACGGCGTTCTTCCTGCACTCGTAGCCTCCGACGATCTTGTCGTCGTCACCGTCCAGGGGGGCGGCGTACGCCGCGGCGCAGAGAGCCAGGAGAATGAGAGCCTTCATGGTTTGTGCTGGACTGGAACGTCTTGCTGACTTTGGGCATCCTCGGACCCTCCTTATATACCCCGCGGACAGCAGTTTGCTGATCGTGCACAAGGTCACCAGGTACATATGTTTCCATACCCAAACATGCCAATAACCAGTGTGTGAACTGACATATGGTTATTGATAAGGCCTCATGTACAGAACCCTTTGCAGCACGTCCGAACTTCAAATGAGTTGCATATGCAGCACTTTTTGTGTAGAATCATGGAAAATATGAGGCCAGAGCAGTTGGTACAGGTTGTGCTTAGTGATATGTGACCTTACTGTAGCTGAATGAAAAAATACACCTAAACTCTTATTACTGAATAACTGTTTCTGCTGTTTGTCATTAGGAGTTAATATATTAGTTAATATAATGATTAATATATTCTGTTAAGCCAGTTGTTCCCCTTTTTGTTAAGTGAGACCTCTAATTACATGATGGTCATAAATTAAAATGGAAAATAGAAGCAACAACACAATAGGTAGTCTGTTCAACCAGTTGCTATTAATTATATAACAATAATCAATTAATTAGTTGTCCATTTTTTAAAAAAGTAGTAAAGCCAATAGTTGTACGTAGAGCGACGATAAAGCACCATTCGAATGCTGAAATGGTTCTTTGCATGGTTTAAATGTTCTTCTCTATAATGGACAACCTACCGTCTCAGCTTTCGCTTGTATATGTCACCAAAAACTCCTATGGAAAATAAATACATGCCAAATATTTGTATTTAATGTGTTTAGAAATGTATGGAAAATGTTTTTTGTTTAATGTACTTAAGTGATTGGAAGAGAACAGTGTATTTAAAATGTGTCTCCCAAATAAAACCAATATATACCCATGTATTTTTCCCATATGTTACGGGTTCCTCTATTGTTGGCCATAGAACGCTTATGGTACTGTATAGAACCGTATTTAAGAATGTTCCTTGCTCTCTTGGCTTTGACAGTGCGCTTTGTAGATGACCTTCTGTTCTTTCTTCTTTTGATAAAACAGTTCAGACTAGATCAGATTATTTGATACTGTGTGGGAAACAAATGGTTGAATCTTTGTCTCTGGAACTGCTTTCATAAACCAATAACTTCTATATTTGTTTTCTATGAAGTTGAAAACATGTTTGATGCAGAAAAAGTGTTGTTACATCTATTTAATGCTATAAAAATGTTTTCAAAACGTATTCTTTTCTATTTGTGTTTACCAGGGGTAGAAAAAGTACAGAGAGGCTGTACTTTCTCAAAACCTTATTAGTTTTATTAAAAATTGAATTAAAACATGAATTAAAGTTAGAATGTGTTTACTTGTAACCAAAATCAAGTATATAAAAGCAAATGTTTTAATGAATAAATTCAAAGTTTTCTTTGTTGTGAGCAGGATCGTTTTATGCACTGGAACTCGACTGATTTGCAAGAGAAAAGAATAACCTGGCCTTTGAAATTTGAGTCGTTGGAAGGTCTAAATGAAAATATAAGGAGTAAAAAGTATTTTTCCTCTTTGCTATGTAACTGAGTAAAAGTACAGGTATTCAATTTCAATAAAACCTGATTCAATTACAGATTGTCCAAAATAATACTTAAGTACAGTAATGAAGTACAGTTACTCAAGTATTTTTCGCCCCGGCGTTTACAGGTTTTAATCCAAGAACTAAAAATCCTATTTTTATGTGTTCAAGAAGATAAAGCATCAATAGTATTGATATGGGATTAAAAAGAAATTTGGTGATGTCACCAGAGTCGGTTTATGACTTATCGCCCGCGAGCGAACCCTCGCTGAATGTGAGTGAATGGAGCTAAGTGGCTAAAAACGAAAGTCAAAATAGTCTCTAACCAAGACCTTCCTTTAATTTAGGAAAGTATACGGATGTATTTCACTAAAAAGCAAATAAAACGTACCTTTATTTTTCCTTTTTTCTACAGCAAACGGGTTTTAGGCAATAAAACACCAGCATTGCTGCTACTGAGTGCTGACTGGTTGGCGAGCGGAGTGAAGCGGTTCGCGCTCACTGACGTCATGAGGTACATGAGGCGCCTCCTATAGCTCGAGTTCAAAAGCTCTTAAAAATACAACAGCAGTGTTAAAATGCTTTATGCTGTTCTGCATTCAGTAAATAAATGCATTCTTTATTTTATTCTCCAGGGTATAATTTGGTTGTTCCATCTGAATTTACATGACCAAATCGTAAGGCAAATTATTCAGTAACTGCATGAAATACATGCAAATTTTTATTTTATTCATTTATTTTTTTGTAAAAGCTCCCTCAGATTAACAGAACATGTGTTTTATGATCACACATATTGCTATATGCTTACAATTTACTGCTGAAAGCCAAAAATCTTAGACGCTCTTTGTATTTTTTATAAAAATAATTTTTACAGAGCAGATCACTGAAGAGACGCCGTCTGTTTATAGTTTATAGCCCAGATTTGTGAAAAAATGAGGGGACTTTCAGTAGAAAAAAATTGTGAGTTCAGTTTTATTATAAGGGTTTAAAATTACATCACCCATCTATTTGACTGTAAAGAAGACAGTTCTCATACGACCCCCACCTTTAGAATGTAGCTTATGAAATATGAACGTTATGAAGAATATGACGAAGTGCGTTTTGGCACCACCGGTGGTCTCAACGAGTTTAAAAGGTTAAAAATCGCCCATCTGTACGCATAGATATACACACCTAGATGACGCGTTGGGTCCAGCCAGGCACGTCAATGGCGCCGCCATTTTGGGGCGGTCAACATCGCGGCTGGACTGCATTCAGTACCATTACAGAACGGCAGTTTAAGAAAGATACTGTCAAAAATTACACTATTTCAAGAATATTACACTCAGAAAGTGGGATAGGATTATATAACAGAGGGAACACAGTGAGCCACGCTCATGTCTGTGTGATGTGTATTGTTTGTGTGATGTTTATGTAGGTATGGCCGTGTGATTGGTGATGCTCAGAGAACCTGTTGATGTAATTGTTTTTCCTTTGGTTTTATATTAAGATTATTCCATTTAATAGTCTATTCATGGGATCTTAACTTTATGTAGTAGTTATTTATTTACAATGATGGTTAATACTTCATAGGTAAATTATAGTATTCCTTAATCCATGTAGACATTTACAGTAGATTAATGTTAGCAGCTTCTTACACGATGCTGAAGTCAGCGTCTTATTTGCCAGCTTCTTGTTCGAATTTCCACCTTAAATGGTGCATCAGCCAGCATCTTGTTTGAATTTTCCCATTCCACCTTAAGCGGTGCAGATTCAGGCACCAGAAACGGGAACAAGAAACTGGCGAATAGAAAGCCAACTTCAGCTTCGTCCTTCTTACTGTGTTTTGGGGGGTTATTTTATTTGTATGTGTATTAAGATTAGAAGTGATTCACTCATTGATGGATTTGCTGATGTGTCTGTCTGTGTTTCTCGCGCTAAACTCGGTTTTTAATGTCAGGTACAGACTGAATATTTTCTTGCTGGTCTGTATGGCTAATTATCACCATCAGTTATTAAAGTAATAAAAGCTACCGAGAGCAGATCCATGCAGCCTGGATTAATCTGAGTCTGAGGATTATAACTAAACAGATTTGGTGAAAATCGGTTGAGTAATAAGGAAGTTTTGGCTAATTTAATCCTGAGACTCATCGTCTCTCAATACAAGTGAATCTGTTCACAAGCGGATCTTGACCGCTCCAACATGGCGGACACGCAGACGTATCACCTCAGATAGAGAACAACAGACAACGCGGCATCTCGGTATATATATATATATGTATATGTATATATATATATATATATATATATATATATATATATGTACGTAACAGAGCCGAGAACCTTTGGTTAAAGCCTATTGGGTGAAGTGCTAGATAAGAGTCACGTGTCATGCAGTGACGCGGATGTAAACACAAGCGGGGAAGTGAGTGATGGAGGAAGCGGGGCTGCTAAAGCAGCGCGGTGAAGTGAAGATATAAAAGTCCTACTCGGCATTTAATGGTTTATTTCTTATTTAAATTAAAAAAAGATATATATTCATTTAAGTTGATTTCAGGTTGGAATTGAAGGCCAGTAGCACCGCTTTGCAGGAGTAAATTAGCTTAGCACACACAGGCAGCTGAAGCTGCTCTGGCTGGCCATGTGGTCCAATTCAACCAAAGCAAAAGTGACTTAATGACCAGGACTTCGGTGATTTACGGTATTTACGTTCGTAATAACATCATCTATAAGTACCAGGATGGTGACACCGCATTCGAGGTGAAGCACCGAGGTTGAACGAGAGGGGATGTGATGGATCGGGAGCACCGCGCTGAAGAACGGGGCGCTCCGAATGGAAACGCAGCTGCGGAGAGGAGTGAAGAGGAGGGCGCTCGGACTGAGAGTGACCGGGACGCGGAGTCGGAGCGACGTCTCAGCATCAGCTTTTGCGGAGACGCGCCTTTCCTCTGGAGGGTGGGCGACATTAAGAGAGCCAGGGAGGAGGACGGGGTGGTCGGGGCTCTGGTGGGCTCTCTGGCCAGGCAGCCGAGGCAGAATGTGCGGTTAGGGAGACCGCTGGAGGTCCTTCAGGAGGAGGCGTGTTTGCTGCTGGAGAGACGGAGAGCTGCTGCTGTTCGACATAAACACAAACAGGTGACTTTTGTTTTTGGCAAGGCTAATATCCCAGTACCGACACAGATATCCAGTAATACTGTTTACATTTCTACTGGATTCTGTGGCAGCCCGAGAAAAATATATAGCCATTTACTAAGTCATGATAACGAGAAAGTTTTCCATAAGTATGACTTATCTCATATTCACGACTTGCTATCTCAAATAATGAGATTCTACCTCATTTCATAATAATAAGAAAGTTTATCATAATCATGACTCAGTATCTCATAATAACTACTTTCATTATTATGAGAAAGTAAGTCATAATTGAGATGGCATATCCTAATTATGACAGTCATTATTATAAGATTCAATCTGATTATTATGAGAGCCATAATTATGAGACAGAAAGTCGTAATTATGAGATACGAGTCTTCATAATCGAGAAAGAATCTCAGGATGAGTTACCATGTCAACATTATGAGAAACTAAGTTGCATACAGTCTCATTATTATGTGATAGTAAGTCATAATTATGATGCTGTAACCTTTGCTAAGTCATAATTGTGAGATACTCATAATTATGTCGTCATAATATGAGAAAGAATCTCAGTATGGGATAGCAAGTCAAAAGTATGAGAAACTAAGTCATATATATAGAATCTCATTATTATGCGATAGTAAGTCGTAATTATGAGATAGTAAGTCATAATTATGAGATACTCATTATGTGTTCATAATTGAGATGGGATCTCATTATGAGATAGCAGGTCAAAATTATGTGAAACTAAGTCATATAGAATCTCATTATTATGTGATAGCAAGTCTTGATTATCAGATATCAAGTCATAATAACAGGCTTCTATGGGATTCTGTAAGAATCTTGAAAGTAAGGTTGGACCATTGGGGGTGAGAGAAGAGGGTGGAGGGGGAGGAGGAGGGTTGAGGAGAGAGGAGAAAATGCGGAAAATGCCGGTTGCTGCGCAGGACACCTTGTGACTGATAGTCCGGCCCCCACACCTTTGGCTAACCTGAAACCACACCTGAAACTAGTAATGATAATTAAGCTGTAGGTTCCACAAGACAGCCTTGTAACTAACAAAGCTAAAGAAAGTCTCATATCAGAGCCTGCCTTTACCAGCAGAAAGACAATATCCCAGTTAGAAGACACAAGCACCTTACATCTCCATTTAAAAAAGTTTCCTTGTGCTTCGTGGAGTGGACTGACTGTTCATGCTGCTCTTTTTTCATAGGAAAATGAAGAAAGCCGTTTGAAGGCTGTTCAGGAGTACCAGGCCAGACTAGAGCGCAGTTATGAGGAGCAGTGCTATCTGGCCCTAGAGGACAAGAAAGCAGTGCTGCAGAGAGTAATGAATGAGAAACAGAATGGTGAGTGACAGTCCAAAATACAGGGTGATTCAAAAAGATTCATCCGATTTCAAAGCGCAATATATTTCCAACTGTGAGGCGCTGAGGAACCAATCACAATCCAATTGTAAGGGGGGGTCATAGAGTTTCTGACTGTCAGTCTGGCAGTGAACCTCCAACAGCTCAGAGCGTTCGTCGCTGGTACCAGCAGTTCCAAGAAAATGTCACCAGCATCACCAGATCTCATGCCGTGTGACTGTTTTTGTGGGGTACGTTAGGGATTCTGTTTATATGCCACTCCCAACAAAACTGGATTATCTCTGAAATTACACTGAAAGAGCTGTGAGTGCAGCGACACCCAACATGCTCAATCCAGTTGTGATGATGTTGTCTGTACAGCTGGAGGAGGTTCATACTGAGCACTTATAACATTACATAATACACTTTATGCTCATTTAAACCATTTACAGTTTACTGCATTGATCTGTAATGATTTACAAATGAAATCAATCATTTTTAAATCGAATAAATCTTTTAGAATCACCCTGTATATCTAGAACTAATCACAAAATCACAGGATATTTAGTCTTTGTTTTATTTAGTTGTCGCTGCTGTTGGAATAAAACCTAATGTCAGTATCATTTGAAAACATTTGCCCTAGTTGAAAATTTCATAATTTCATTATTCATCTTTAACCGCTTAATTCAGCTAGAGTTGCTGTTCTTCTTACACTAACATTAAAATTTTAATGTTTTTTTTTTCCTGAAAAATTGTTCTGACAGTAATTTTGTTCTTCAGTTCAAATTCTGTGAAGATTTTTAGGTATAATAATGAAATAATTGATAATTCAAGTTTTCCAGTTTTTAGAAAGGCTATGAAAGTTCATCCCAGTGTGTAAAGTGATCTGAAACTCTCTCAGGTGCCATATGTCGAACTCTTTTCTGTGTCCTGTTGCTCAGATCACTCAGGTAATGGGGACACAGAGCGGGCAGTGAGAGAGCGTCTCAGCTCCCTGGAGAAAAGCTTTTGCTTCCCCCGTTCCTCCATGGCAGTCCAGCTCTGCACTGCCCGCGCTGGTTTCGGTCACTGCCCTGAAGAAGTCGGCTTCCTGGCTGCCGACTGGCCAATGCCTAGAGACAAGCGGTCGGAGACGAGGTTCCGGGTGTACAGGGACCTGAGGAGGAAGGGTTTCTACCTGACTTCAGCGGGGAAGTTTGGGGGAGACTATCTGGTGTATCCAGGTTAGTTTGAGATGGGTGGGGTTTCATGTTGTTTTGACTGTGTTTGTAGACATTTTAAAAAACATTGATTAATAAATGATTTACTTAATCTTATATTATCATTGGCATCCAAAAAAAGTATCAATTTTTTCCCCAATTTTCATTTTTCTACATAATTTGAGCAGAGCGACTGCCCCTTATATTGTATGAACATTTCATGACGATTGGATCAATAGAAATGCTCCAGAAATGCTTGTAATAAAATCTATCTATCTATCTATCTGTCTATCTATCTATCTATCTATCTATCTATCTTTCACTCGTTTGTTCATTTATTTATTTGGCTCTTATCGTTATCATTCATTTTTTTATATATTTTTTATTTATAAAAAAATTGCATGTTTGAACAGAAAGAGTGTCACTTTTATCAAGGTTTTCCTTGTAAACACAGGAAGTGAAATAGAATAAGAAAAGATAATAATAATAATAGAAAATAACTAATTATTTTGCTGTTTTCCTCCAGGTGATCCACTCCGTTTTCATTCCCACTTCATTGCGTTGTGCCTGTCTATGGATGAACATTCACCGCTCTGCGATATTCTTGCTATAGCACGCCTGGGTTCCAATGTGAAGAAAACGGTGCTGCTTTGCTCCCCACGAGATCCCAGTGACGGTGAAGTGGAGGAGGAGGTTGTGTATTCTTCTCTTCAGTGGAGTGGAATGGTATAGCAGAGCCTTTCAGCCATTCACCCCATCCTGCAAGCTGAGTTCATATTAATAAAACTACTAAATTCAAACCAAAAAAGGAGTCAGCTTGTATTTTGTGACTGAATCAGCTGCTGGGCTGTGCCTGTGCAGAGATTTAAATGATTATTAAGAAATAAAATCTGCTACTTCTTTAATCTTTCTTTGCTTGTAGAGTGGTTGGTTGGTGTAGTGAAGTGGGTAACACCTCTGCCTTTTAGGGTGTAGACTGGGGTTCAATGCCCCACCTGGGTAAACATCCTACACTACACCAATAAGAGTCCTTGGGCAAGACTCCTAACACTGCCTTCACCTCCCTGGGTAAAATGATCAAATTGTAAGTCACTCTGGATAAGAGCGTAAATGGTCAGGTTCCATTTCCTTTAGTGTTTTCCTGGCTCTACTAGAACTCAAGAAAGGCTTACTAATTGACTCTTTGGGTAGGCTTGCTAGCAGTAATAATAATAATATTAATAATAATAATAATAATGTTACTGAGGGGTTTAAAGTGTATGTTTGTAGTGGGCCAAAAAGACAACACAGCAAGCTAGCTTGTCAGCCTTACATTTTCGTGTCGTCAGTTTTTGGAAAAATTTGGAGCATGTGTACTTTCATAATGTTGATGAATGGTCTATTCTTTAAATACTTTGACCGTTTCCTTACATATGAACCAAACTGTTTGTAGTCTTTAACCTCTTTCTGCAGGCCCTTTAGTGGCCATTCTGCCAGTGGAATGGAATTTGACTCCTTTTTATTTTATATTTTAAAATATAAATATAATATTTTCTTTTTTTTTTTAAATTAATATGATCAGATCAAATATTTTTTCCCCAGAACTTTGCTATCAGATTAACTAGGACATTGTGTACCTATAACTTTTGCTGATTCATTGTTAGGAAAAGTATAAGATCAATCAAATAAAAAATAACAAGTCACATGAAAACATTTGTGCTCTCATTGGGTGATTGAGTGGAGAGGTAGGGGCAACGTTCTGGTGGGCCAAGTCATCATCCTTGCAAGCAAACTTTTGGTCTGTAGCCTTACTTTGGTCCCTGGTGTAAAGAGTTGGGTATGGGATCCAGACAGAAAAAACAAATACTGTGTTTTTCAGCTCACCACTCTATGCTGATGTCCACCACATGTCCAGAAGTTTGTAGACACCTGCTCATCTAACATTTCTTCCGAATCAAGGGCACTAAGGGTCCCATACTGAACTTTTTTCTTGCATTTTATTTTTTCCCCCAAGGTTCACTTACTGGGTGATTTTAAGTACCAAAAACAGTCATAATTAGTTTTTACATCATCATTTTCCGACCTCTATGACTGTTTTTGGTACTGTGCCTTTAAGAATGATGTAAGTGAGCTCAGTTCTGATTGGTTGCCCTATAATATTGTGCCATTTTTCAAAAACAGTGCAGCATGGAACATAACTTCAGTATGAATGGGCCGAGCTCAACTGCTGTCTGTTTTTACATTTTAGTTTCCATATGTGGGCAGAATAAACTGGGATTTTAACAGTGTTTACAAACTAAATAAGAGTCTTAAACAACATGAAATGGGGTTTTTCTTGATATGAGCCCTTTAATAAAGACTTTGTCCTTCTTTTGCTGCAATAACAGTCTCTACTCTTCTAGAATGATATTAGCAGATGTTGGAACATTGCTGTGAGGGTTTGCATTCAGCCACAAGAGCATTAGTGAGGTCAGGTCCTGATACTGGATGATTAGTTCTGGATTACAACTGTCACTCCACCTCATCCCAAAGGTACTGTATGGAGCTCTGTCACTTCAGAGTATGAAGTGACTGTTCCATAACTAGATGAGGAGCTTTATACCCCTCTAGGTCGGCATGGTGACTTTAGGCTCAGGTATAGATGCTCCAAAGGGTCCCTTTCTATTGGTAATGCTTTTTAATTACAAATTAAAAAGGATTTATGCACTTTAAAGTAGCTTAATTTACTAATTAGATTGGTTAGGATGGATATATTGGACATACACTGAACAGGCATAACATTAAAACCTTGTTTCTACGCTCATTGTCCATTTTATCAGCTCCACTTACTATATAGGTGCACTTTGTAGTTCTACAGTTACAGACTGTAGTCCATCTGTTTCTCTGCATACTTTGTTAGCCCCCTTTTACCCTGTTCTTCAGTGGTCAGGACCCCCATAGACCCTCACAGAGCAGGTACTATTTGGGTGGTGGATCATTCTCAGCACTGCAGTAACACTGACGTGGTGGTGGTGTTAGTGTGTGTTGCGCTGGTCTGAGTGGATCAGACACAGCAGTGCTGCTGGAGTATTTAAACACCTCACTGTCTCTGCTGGACTGAGAATAGTCCACCAACCAAAAATATCCAGCCAACAGCGTCCTGTGGGCAGCGTCCTGTGACCACTGATGAAGGGCTAGAGGATGACCAACACAAACTGTGCAGCAGCAGATGAGCTATCGTCTCTGACTTTACATCTACAAGGTGGACTGACAAGGTAGGAGTGTCTAATAGAGTGGACAGTGAATGGACACAATGTTTAAAAACTCCAGTATCACTGCTGTGTCTGATCCACTCGTACCAGCACAACACACACTAACACACCACCACAACGTCAGTGTTACTGCAGTGCTGAGAATGATCCACCACCCAAATAGTACCCCTCCTGTGGGGGTCCTGACCTTTGAAGAACAGGGTAAAAGTTGGTGTATCGTGTATTAGTAACTTCGTTTTATATGTTTTTATTTTTTATACCAGTCTATGATATAAATTCGTATTCGGTTCAAGGAAAACAATATGTCAGTCAGACAGACGGCGTTTTAGGGCCACTGTTAATAAAAATAAAAATAGTAGACTTCGAGAATAAAGTCGTACTATTTCGAGAAAACAGTCGTAGAATTAGGACATTAAAGTGGCATTAACACCAGGAAAGGTCAATATTGTGGCCAAAGACTGCGAAGTGAAGCAGCACCTCCTCGTGTTAAATGAGGGGCGGTGAGTTGGTGCAGTTCTACTTTCATATCGATTCACCCATAAAGAAACACTCAGTCTCCCTGTCTCTCCTGCACATCAGCACCAGCCTGTTATTAGTATAGGAACCGGCTGAAACGGCTGAGAAGGAAACTGTGTTTATCTAGAATAAAGAGCCAGACGGACTCGGAGGAAACTGTCTGTCTGTGTTGTTGAAAGAGAATCTCAGGCAGGGTCTCTACACGGCTATCAGGGCTATATCTCCACACCATTCAAAGAGGGCATGAAGTTTCACAGACAGTGAGAATGATGATCAGAATGATCCACAGAGAGACAGGAGTGAGTGGAGCTCCGGCGCCAGTACAGCAACCGAGACCCCAACGCGTTATGGCAGCCCCCCTACAGTTAGACCACTTTATCCTCCAAATATTACCTCTTTATTCTCGAAGTCTACTGTTTTTATTTTTATTAGCAGTGGCCCTAAAACGCCAACGTCAAAAACAAAAAATGTAAGTCAAAAGTAAAGAAAGAAAACTGACACCGATCGCGTAGCTGATCACAAACCCTCGCGAGACTTGAGAAGTTCCCGGGCGGCGGGCGGAGCGGTGTGGAGAGAAAAGAGGGACATCTTGACAAACTCATAAAAACAAGATGTCGGGGCGCTCTGTCCGAGCGGAGACCAGGAGCCGAGCCAAAGATGATATCAAAAAAGTGATGGCGGCCATCGAAAGAGTCCGCAGATGGTAAGGCTGAGAGCTGAAGCGCCGCGAGACGGCGGGGTTTATCTCGGTAGCCTGCGAGGCTAGTTACGAAAACACTGACTCCGGTCTGGCGGGGGAGGGACCAAGCCTTGAGTGACAGGTCAGAGGCGGTGAGGTGACCAATCAGGAGTTTGGAACGTCTTGCTCAGCGTGGGGGCGTGTCTTAGAAATGTCAGCACTGAAGGCGCAGCGGTGGAGTCTAACTTTGTGACAGTGGCGGTTTAGTTTATAACTAGACTAACGTTACTACACAGCACTCATATACCCGACATACACAGCTCACACGGTTATATCTGTCAGTATTCATAACATTTATTGACCCACGTTTGTTTCAGTTCTACCACCGCGTGCTCATTTGCACACGTGTGCACATATCTGCACTATTCCAGTGGTGAACGAAGGCATGTAGTTACTTGAGTTAAAGTAGAGATACCCAAGGTAAATATTACTCCAGTAAAAGTAGAAGTTCCTCCCTTTAGACCTCCACTTGAGTACAAGTACAAAGGGATTTGCCTTCAAATGTACTTAAGTATCAAAGGTAAAAGTACTAAAAGATTAATTATGATTTTAATGTCCTATTATCATTTTTGTAACTAGACTCACTTCATTAACTCATTTTAGATGAAAATACTCCAGTGTCTCTCTTGGTAAACCAGTCTTTTAATAGAATGTCATTAATTAGTGACGCTGATGTCTATTAAAATTATCATAAGCACAAAACACTGAAGGCGAACAGTTTCCATCAGGTAGAACTGAGTGGCTCTGAAATAACTTTTTACAAACAAGTAAAGTTTCAGTTTAAGATTTATTTAACTTAGTTACAAGTTTAAGTTTTAATAAAAACTTTAAACTCAGGTTCACAAATGAGTTTCCTTTACTAAACTGCATCTGTAGGTCTCTGTTCATAAACATAAACTAGCCAAAATGAATTTACTATAAAATGAAAGTGTTTGTATAAATTCAGAAAAAAAGACCCGTCAGTCACAACTGCATATGTGTACATATTTCTATATTGTGGTCTATTTACACAAAGTTAGTTTAGTTCATCATTTATGTTGAATAGACTCTCCCAATATTTTACACTGCTGCACTGATGTTGAACCGTGTGCTGCACTGGGTCGGTATGACCAACAGGTCAAAACAAGCTCAAAACAAAGTGCGCTCTGTGCCCTGATGGGTGTTCTGCTTCGCGCTTCTTTCATTTTGAGCATGTTACGTTTTTATTCACACATAAACCAAAAGGAACGACAGATTTCTCATAATGTGGTGGAGTAAAAAGTGAGATATTTGACTTTGAAATGTAGTGGAGTGAAAGTAAAAAGTCGCCCAAAATGGAAAAACTTCAGTAAAGTACAGATACACAAAAAACTACTTAAGTACAGAAACGAATTACATTTACTTACAGTTACTGTCCACCACTGCACTTTACATTGCACATATCCTTGTATTTTGTTATATCCTTATATTTTATATTCTTCCCTTTTTTATATTTTCCTGTTGGACAGTCACATTAGCATTTCACTGCACGTTATACTGTGTATGGCTGTGTGTGTGACCAGTAAAGCTTGATATGATTTGATTTGACACAGTTTAAGCCATAAATACAAATACATTTTCCTCATTGTGTTCCACTTTAATGCAGTGGCTCTGCATGTGACCTGGTGATGTGACTAGGATCTTGTGGGCCCCCAGTACAAAAACTACTTCCAATAAATAAAAAGGCCATTGCTGTGTCTGAAATGTTCAGAGTCCAGAGATGCTGTGAGGTAGTTATACTTTTCTGGGTTGTTATCTTGAGATTGCGACTTAACTACACTGTAATCTCAAGATAACAAAGTTAACAAAGTTATCTTGAGTTTGAAGATTCACACGCAACTAGGATTAGTACAGAGCCCTGCTGACATCCTGTGTAAATAAAAATAATGCATGGCCACACCTTATTAACGTGTGGGAACAAGATCCTAATGCATGGCCATGACTTAGTAAGACGTAGGGACGAGATCCCGGCTTACTAAGTCGTGGCCATGCATTATTTTTATTTATACAGGATGTCACCAGCGGGGCTCCGTAGGTTAGTGAGCCCAGCTGCAATGGCAGCGTCTTCCTCTGTTCAGACCCGTTACAGATGTAAGCTATTCTCGAAGTTATCTTGAGATCATGATTTAATTGTTGTGTAATCTTGAGGTAACAACTTTTGTTATCTTGAGATCACAACATAACGAAGGCGTGATCTCAAGATAACAACTGTCTTGTAATTTTAAGATAACAAAAATTGTTATCTTGAGATCACAACACAATTAAGTCATGATCTCAAGATAACAATCCAGAAAATTATCTCCAGACTTTCATGGAAATGGTCCCCTAATCACTAAAACCTACACAAGAACTAGAACACAATTATAGGGGATCTAATAATATAAGATTATAGACTTAAGAACTGTTGTTCTGTAACGGTTTCTGTCCTAAAATCAGTCTTAACTGAAGTTGCCATGACAACAATGCAGGTAAGATATGATCTCGGACTGTAGTAAGGCCCCTGGTTCCTATCACCACCACTGTGAACAGTTCTGACTCTGTAACGTTTCTGAAACAGAGCGTTTCACACCAAACCACTTTACTTGACTCTGTTTACATCTTAATTATTCAATTATCCAGACATTTTCAAAAATCGATGGAATTCCCCTTTAATGTTAACCTAATTGTTTGCGTTAGACTACCTGTGTAAGATTTTATTATTATAAGTAATTAATATATCATGTTGCAGGCTGTGAAGGATGAGTTTGAAAACGGTTACCATAGAGATGTATTATTAATCAATACATTTTTAAACTATTTTTATCTTATTTTCATTTATTTGTTATTATTATTCACATTCTTATTCTTATTTTAATTATAATTATTTTATTATTTGTCATTTTAATAAGTTTTTTGTTTAATTTTTGATCTTATTCACCTCTTATTTTATTTTGATTTGATTTGATATGATTAATCTTTACATTTTAGCTTTGTTTAAATGATTGTTTTATATTTTTTATTAGAGTTTTATGTATTTTTATTATTAATGTTTCACTTTTTTATACCTACCTAATTTGAGTCTTTGAGTCTTTGTTAATTATTAAATTTACTTTTATTATTTAAAATGTTCTTACACATTATCAATCCCTTGCTCTGTGTTAAATCGGCAACACTGTAAATGAGGGTCACCCTCAATGTTCTCTGAGATTAAATAAAGGTTGATTCATTGATTGATTGATTGATAATAAGAGGGAGATGAATAGACTGTCTCTGTAATGTTGATTGAAGCTAATTGGTGAGCTGTGTTAAGAAATTGGATCTTCCTGTGAGTCCTGGGTGTACAATTGTGTCTGTATCTATATGAGGCACAAAAAACACTGATCACAAAGCCAAAAAGCCAAGAGCCGATCACCACAGGCCCCCCGACACCATGCGCTCTCGGTAGTTACGCCACTGATGTGAACTATCACAGCACTCTGCCTATAATTTCAGTTATTTGGCTGCATTGAAATGGTTAGAAATACTTTTTAAGCATCAGGACTTCAGTGTGTTATAATCTAAATATACTAAATGTATGCTATTTTTAATGTCTTCCTGCAGGGAGAAGAAATGGGTCACTGTAGGGGACACATCCTTAAGGATCTTCAAGTGGGTCCCTGTAACAGAGACCAAACAGGTGTGAGCACTAAAGTTGACATGTTATTGGAGATCTCTGAGCACCTTCACAGGTCGATCTTCCATCTCTCTTTATTTCAGATATTTAAGACAAAAGGCTCCGCTGGGGCAGTGAGGGAACTGAAGGGATTTCCTACAGACGTGGTGCTGGAGAACGCTCGCTCAGTCTTACTGGATTTCCAGGGTAATGAACTTGAGGTTTTGCTTCGGTGAAGCGCCTCCAGAATGTTGATGCCATTTTAAATGTCACTGCAAAGCCACATAAAATGTAAGGTAGTGGTGGATAAAGTGACCTTTGTGCTGAAAAACCTCTAAATCATTATTGGTAATCTTTCCCAATTACTCATTTCTTTCTTTTCGCTAATTAATTTTGCTCAACAGACGACAACAGTAACCAGAGCTTCTTGTCGGATGCCTATCAGTCCAATAACAAAGTGGACAGCAGCAGTAACTCTAGTCCGCAGCACGCCAGCAGTGCCGTCAGCCCCTCTCACACCCCCTACTTCCGCACAGAGGACTCCCAGCCACCCACTCTGGGACAGGAGACCATGGAGGGTAAGCTACCGTTAGAAGTGCATTATTTAGTATTGTATGTGTGTTATAATTGTAAGTGGTTTTGGACGCAGCCGATGTCTTTTTCGCATCAGTAGGCACTATAATAATAATAACGATAAACTTAATATTTACTTAATATTAACATAATGTTGACTAATAATTAAAAAATTAGATAAAAATAAAGGCTAAATCAGAAAGCTTGTATAAGATGTCAGTTGTTTGCAGCAAATATTATGGGTAAATTAAAGAGTCATTACATTCTTGTCAGTGACAATGGCTGCGTTCTCATTACCAGGTTAAAGTGGCTGATGTCCACACAGTCCTGATGTTTTCAGGGCTGTGTGGACACGCAAATCGGATCTTTTCAAATCCGACCTGAGTCACTTTAGGTCCGCTCACATTACGTGCCTCGTTGCTCAAATCCAATTTTTTGCTCAAATCCGATCTCTCTGACATCATGGTTCACACTCGTTTAGGTAAGTGATTCAAATCCGTCATTAATGCGATGAACCGGCGTCCTGAAATGACCCTCATGAGCACATCCTACTCAGTAACGTCACGTGAATGAATCACGTTCATCATCAGCACAAACTAACAAGCAGAACGAGCTTCACTGAGAAGATAATTAACTCTGATCAGCTCTCAGCTTCATTATTAGAGCGAGACGAAGGAGAAAAAGGTGAGATGAGCTGCTTTTCCACTGTTTACAGGCTTTAACTTCTGTTCGGCGCTGCTGCCATAGTAACGCTGAATGATGGCGCAGTGGAAAAAAAGCACATGAATTGCAATCTGAGCGTCACATTAAGGATACGTATCCGATCTAGGACCACATATGAAAGCGGCTCAGTTCGGATTTGAAAAGATCAGATTTGCATCCACACAGTTCTGAAAACATCAGATCTGAGTCACATTAGGGCAAAAATCTGATTTGTGCCAGTTTAACCTGGTAATGTGAATGTAGCCTTTCGTATGTGGTCGTAGATCAGATACGTATCCGATTCGTGGCCATGCGATCGTAATGTGACGTTCAAATCGGAATTCATGTGGTTTTTTTCCACTGCGCCATCATTCAGCGTTACCATGGCAGCAGCGCCGAACAGAAGTTAAAGCCTGTAAACGGTGGAAAAGCAGCTCATCTCACCTTTTTCTCCTTCGTCTCGCTCTAATAATGAAGCTGAGAGCTGATCAGAGTTAATTATCTTCTCAGCGAAGCTCGTTCTGCTCGTTAGTTTGTGCTGATGATGAATGTGATTCATTCACGTGACGTTACTGAGTAGGATGTGCGCATGAGGGTCATTTCAGGACGCCGGTTCGTTCACATTAATGACAGATTTGAGTCACCTAAACGAGTGTGAACCATCATGTCGGAGAGATCGGATTTGAGCAACAAGGCGTGTAATGTGAGCGTAGCTTATGAGTGATCATATTCTTGTCAATTATCAATTATTACATTACATTTCCACTTTAGGTGACATAGGATCCTTATTAATTTAACTCATTATCATGTAATGTTATACTTTTAGCTTCAGTAACATACAAGGTTTTTTTAATGAAACATAATTACATGTTACACTTCTTCTTATGTGAATCTATAACACATTTAACACATTTAATCAAACTCTGCACACAGAGCCGTCAATGACCAGCAGTGAAGTTACAGATGAGCCACCGACTTTGATAAAAGAGGATTTACTGCCTCTTTCTGCTCAGGTAATGTACAGCAACTTCCCAGCAGACCCTTCTTTAAACAATAACAGTTCAGTTGTAGCTTAGCAGGTGTAATCACTTTGACAGGCTTTCAGAAGTTTGCAGTATAAATCGGATCATAACTTTAACCGATATCTCATTAGTTTGTTGGAGGGAGGGATTGTTACCCATTTCCTAAACCGAAGACACCAGTGAAGGACGTGCGCAAAACTGTGCCGACTAAACTAAATACCATATGAAAGGTGCATAATCTGCTCCACGGCTAAATTAGCTAATCAGTTAACCACCTAACCAGTGTCACCAGTGTTACCTGACTGGTTTTGGTATTATATGTAGCCTCCTTGTTTCTACACTCATTGTCCGTTTTATCAGCTCCACTTACTATATAGGTGCACTTTGTAGTTCTACAGTTACAGACTGTAGTCTATCTGTTTCTCTGATACTTTGTTAGCCCACTTTTACCCTGCTCTTCAGTGGCCAGGACCCCCATGGACCCTCACAGAGCAGGTACTATTTGGATGGTGGATCATTCTCAGTACTGCAGTAACACTGACATGGTGGTGGTGTGTTAGTGTGTGTTGCGCTGGTACCAGTGGATCAGTGTCCACTCTATTAGACATACCTGCCTTCCACCTTGTAGAGAAAGTAGCTCATCTAGTCTGTCATCGGTTGCTGTTGCTTCAATATTTTTGGTGCTGAGAATGACCCACCACCCTGTGGGGGATATGACCATTGAAGAACAGGGTAATAAGTAAGTAAGTAAGTAAGTGGAGCTAATAAAATGGACAGTGCATGTCGATACAGGTAGGTAAATGTATCTATCTAATCATGCATTTACTTAAGATGGTGCTGCTCTTTAACTTTCACTTTCACTTCTGTATGGTTTGTTATTTGATAAGAATTCTCACTTTTTGACTCTGGTCTGTTGGTCAAGAGGGTTTAGCCTCTGTCCTTATCCTTTCAGTGCTATTAAGTTGCTGGTAGAATATGATATTTTGTAAGTAGCCTTCAAATACATACTGAAGACTCTTTCTGAAATTGTGAATATATTGCTTTAAGTTACTAAGAGTTAATCCCTCATACATAATCCACCGTTGCCATTAAAGACTCTATACTGGGTATGGTGGGCTTGAAAGCTTGTCAGTGGTAGCATCAGTAACAGCAGTTGATACTTGTTTATGAAGCGTACTGTAGATTGGATATTACATAGGAAATTTGACTATTACTGGTTATTACACTGTTGTATGCAAATGTTTGGCCACCCCTGGTCAAAGTTCATGTTTTGTTGCTTTTTCAAGTGACAGTAATTTAATGCACATCCTACTGCAGAGTGAAATGTGGCCCTGGGTCAACAGGGGAGGTTCTTAAATTGAACTTGTTCAAGTTGTTCAAATTATGGCATGGTATATGTTTATATTGTACATTTAATGCTGTATTTTTTCATGTGTTAAATTCAGCAGGAAAATATAAATTGTGCACTAAAATGAGCAGAACTTGCAATGTTTACGTTTGTTCCAGTCCTGGTCCGGGAGATCGACCACTCTGTAGAACCCATGTGTCAAACATAAGGCCCGCGGGCCAGATCAGGCCCACGACGCAATCCTATCCGGCCTGCAAAAGTATTTTAATTTGCAATTAACATTACCGTGCTTCACAGTGTGCTGCACTACAGTCCCAAGCATGCACTCCAGCACAACGTGTGCTCTGACTCTTCAACAACAGTCTGTGGGACAGTCTACAGCGGTTACACCTCAGTTCTACACAGTTCTACCAGTGATATCACCAAACACACTCGCTGCATTTCAGCTACTGTTGAACCAACATAAATACTTAATGTCAGCTCAGCAGCTCAGAAATTGAGCCCAAGCCTTCAAGTTGCAGCCCAGAAAAGATAGCAGGCGTTTAGTTTAAGCAAATAGGTAGGTTTAAAAGACCACCATCCTGGGGACGTTTACATTTTGAATAATTTAGGTAATATTTCAAGGTCCACTACAAGTGCCTGTATTTTGTTGTTGACAACTTGGTGTATTTTGAATAAACAGTGGTCAGTTCATATTATAGCAAAATTTTAATTAAAAATGAAATAAAAAACATCTGCGTTCTCTGGCCCGCAGATTTGTTGAGAGTTTTTAATATGGCCCTTTTAGTGGTTGGGTTTGACACCCCTGCTGAAGGCTTAGCTCAAACCCTAACCAAACACATCTAATCCAGGCAATGATGGCTTTTAGGGGAATCTGAATATCAGAGCCAGGTGTGTTAGATCTGAACTCTCCAGGGTGGTAGACCTCCAGGACCAGGCCTGGACACCTCTGCTGTAGAGGATGTGTTAAATTATTCTCACTTACAAGATGAACAGAATGTAATTTTACCAGGAGTGTTCGAACTTTTTCACACAATCATTTGGGTTTTAATTTACACATTATTGCTTTTACAGGAGGATGAGGAAGTGGCGGTCGCTCCACCGTTGAAAAGAGTTTGCACAGATGAAAAGTCCGGTCTAAGTTAGTGGCACTGTGATAAGTACAGGTCACCTGGGCCTGCTGAACTGAAAAGGGCAGCCCTGTTGTCCACTTGGACTAGTATCATCTCATACAGATGGTATTCTGTAAAATTTGCAGTTGACAGAAAAACAACAACTTCACAACTTCAGAAGACTGCAAGGCACAAGCTGTGAAATGCTTGGGAAGCTGTTTTGATATCCAAAAGATTTGATATTTCTCCCACTAAATATTGTAATTACTTGAAGAAAAAGCCATTAGTATTACGTTTTGTAAATACAGTTCAAATGAAACTGAGAGGGAACCTAAATGCAATACGATGCATTATGGTTTAACATGCGTATGTTTTGAGTCCTTTTGAAAATCTGCTTGTTTATTTCAGCTTTTATAATTCAGTGTTTCTGCAAAATATCTTCTTTCAATGTCTTTGCTTTATGGAGTTGTTTTACTGCATGCTGCGTGGGACAGTTTCTTACGCCCCAGTCAGGAATGGTTGAAACTGCATGTAAGTGTATTAAAGGTTGAGTTGAGCTAAACAGTCAGTGAAGATGTGAACTCACTGTAGTTCACACAACAAGTTTCATACATACTGAGAACATAACGACAGTCAATTAACACTATCGATGTTTTTTGCAGTTGCAGCAGTTCCTGACTGGGGCTTTATTTATACATGTAAAGCAAATCAAGTTTGTGAACTGCAGACCTGCACATCAAGTATGAAGGTTTTTACATTTCATATGCCTTGATTTTTCCTTTTTACTGTAAATATGATGGTATTTACGTTACCTTTGTAAGAATATTTTGCCATAGAAAAAAATAAAAAATCCATGCTTTCAGATTTCAGTTTACATATAATCTTTCAAATATCCAGCTAATACTGTGGTGGCAAAGCAGTAATGAAATGCATTTTCATAAATTCTTCATAAAACTTCACGACCTGTTCTTGACAGCCACATTCAAAAATCGTTTTATTATACAAATCTACACCGATCAGGCATAACATTATGACCACCTCCTTGTTTCTACACTCACTGTCCATTTTATCAGCTCCACTTACTATATAGGTGCACTACTTGTGTAGTTCCGGCACTTTGTGTTGTGCTGGTCTGAGTGGATCAGACACAGCAGTGCTGGTGAGTTTTTAAACACTGTGTCCACTCACTGTCCACTCTATTAGACACTCCTACCTTGTCAGTCGATGTAAAGTCAGAGACGATAGCTCATCTGCTGCTGCACAGTTTGTGTTGGTCATCCTCTAGTCCTTCATCAGTGGTCACAGGATGCTGCCCACAGGACGCTGTTGGCTGGATATTTTTGGTTGGTGGACTATTCTCAGTCCAGCAGTGACACTGAGGTGTTTAAAAACTCCAGCAGCACTGCTGTGTCTGATCCACTCAGACCAGCACAACACACACTAACACACCACCACCACGTCAGTGTTACTGCAGTGCTGAGAATGATCCACCACCCAAATAGTGCCTGCTCTGTGAGGGTCCATGGGGGTCCTGACCACTGAAGAACAGGGTAAAAGGGGGCTAACAAAGTATCAGAGAAACAGATGGACTACAGTCTGTAACTGTAGAACTACAAAGTGCACCTATATATTAAGTGGAGCTGATAAAATGGACAATGAGCGTAGAAACAAGGAGGTGGTCATAATGTTACGCCTGATCAGTGTTTATCCAAAGTGTAAAAAGGCTGCATCCCTTCAACCCCAACCTCCAGTTCCTTTCCTGAAAGCAATAACACTGTATTTTAGCCTTTGGGTTCACTGTTTACCACCCATCATTCTGTTTATGAACCAGTTTTAATGCCTTCATTATCCAAATCATGTGTTAAAACAGGGAAAACATTAACCTAAGAGTGCAGGAGGGCTGAACGTATGTGGCAGTGTATTGTACAGCACATTCACTGATAGTCTGGTATTAGATAGACCTTTAAACATATGAAGACTATCACTGTTGTTATTATTAGCACCATTTAGTACAAATTGCAAATAATAACTGGCACGTCAAGACAAGTCCAGATCATGCTGTTATCTGGAAAATTGAGGTTGCATCAGCTGTACAATAGCGCCACTGTGTGGCTATTTGGGTGCACTAGCTGCAAAGGAAAGCTTTTCTTGTCCCAAATGACTGATATATTTATAATAAGCTCTAAGATACCTTCTGAATTTTTGTCATGGTTATTTGCAGTGATACAGGTATAGTTGTGTTGGTACATTAATCTTTGCACAGTCCTGTGTTTGGTAATTTTTCATTTCATTCTCTCATCCCTAATTTTTTACCCCCAATCCACCTAGTGCTCTCAAAGAATTAGGCCAGTCGTACATCATTTTCTTTGCTCTAATCACGACCTGAGGTTTAGTAAAGTGATAAACCTTTTTTGATATTTGGCTCTGGCTCTGGTTTGGCTGAATCGTTTTTGGTTGAAGTGATGAAGTACCATCCAGTGCCTTTGGGCAGAGTTGGAGTAGCATGTGTTCAGTGCCTGACCTCACTAATGCTCGTGGCTGAAAGCAATCAAATCCTCACAGCAACGTTCCAACATCTAATGAAAAGCCTTCCCAGATGAGTAGAAGCTGTTACTACGGGGGGAAACTCCTTATTAATATCTTTGATTTGATAAGAATCTATAAACTTGTAAATGTAGAGGTGCTGTATGTTACAGCCACTGAAATGACCATAAACTATTTTTACATAACTGACTGTTTTGGCTCAGTAGTGATTGTTATTATTATGTGACCCTGGTTTTCTTGCAAGTGAGCAAAAAGATCCAGATCTTCAATCACATCATCAGGTTCGCTGACAACATGACTGTGGTGGGTCTGATCAGCAAGAATGGTTCAGAACCAACAACCTGTCTCTGAATGTGGACAAAACTAAGGAGATAGTTGTTGACTTCCGAAGAGTGCGAGGTGTCCACCCCACACTGAACATCACTAGCTCTGCTGTGGAAATCGTCAGGAGCACCAAGTTCCTCGGTATCCACATCACAGAGAACCTCACCTGGTCCCTCAACACCCACAGCCAAGAGAGCCCAGCAAGTCTACCTCAGTAGCTGCTGAGCTCACGTATGTTATATTCTGACTGCGTAACTCACAGATCACAGCATGTTAAATATCTCTGCACCTTATTCTCACTACCTCACGCTCAGAAATGAGTGCTGTGTCGGCGCTGCACTGTTCTGTCTGTTTACTGTGTCTAATGTCTGTTTTATTTATTTGTTTCCAGATTAATGTTTTGCACACTCACGTCTGCACGTTTGCACTTTGTACTGTCTATTTTGTTCCATGTTGCACCATGTTGGTCCTGGAGGAACGTCATTTCGAATGACAATAAAGGCCTCTTGACTAGACTTGATCTTCTGATTTTAAAGTTAAGACTCATAATCACTTCCTTTTGAGCTACTATAAATGTTAATGGTATCGGCAGACCAGGCTACACCTAATCCAAAGCCGCATAAGCATCTTGTTCTTGGAGCAACTTCTCAACATCTGCATTAAAGTGTTTTCTCGCTAGTTACACATGCAGTGCAATGATCATTAAATTTACTGAAGAAACTCTGGTTTTCAACACCTACAGTCATGTTTCTCTTTTTCTGACATATGTGGACAGTACAGGTAAGTGTTACTGTGGAACTTTGACTTTGCAATCATTTATTTAAAAAAAAATAATAATTGATGTCATTTTGTCTGTTGAAAAAGTAAGTAGACCCCTGGCTTCAGTAACTGGTACTGCCCCCTTTTGGCAGAAACATGTAGCCATTTCCTGTAACTGTCCACCAGTTTCTGACATCCACTGGGAGAAAAATTTGCCTGTTCTTCCATGCAGAATTCTTTCAACTGCGCAATGTTTGAGGGGTTTATTGCATGTACAGTTTGCAACACCTTCCCACAGCATTTCAATGGGATTCAGATCTGGGCTTTGACTAGGCCATTCCATAACCACCCATTTCTTCCTTTTGAGCCATTCATGGTGGATTTACTTGTATGTTTGGGATCGTTATCTTTTTAGAAGGTCCACTTCTTCAGCCTCAGCTGTTTGACAGATGGTCTCAGATTCTCCTTAATCACTCTCTGGTATGAAAGAGAATTCATAGTCAATTCTATGCCTGCAAGTTGGTCAGGGCCTGAGGCAGCTGCCTGCAGATCCTATGATGACATTTTCAGGTTCTTAGAGACTTTTAGCATCTTACAGTGGCCTAGTCTGGACAAGTCTGCAGTGGTTTTACATCTTTTGCACTTGTGGACGATCTTTCGGGCAGTGAAATGACTGATTTCCAATCTTTTGAACATCTTCTTAAACCCCTTCCCAGATTCATAGGCATTTACAACTTTCTTCATTGAGGCTCTTTTGATCTAAGCACGACGATACCACATAATCCAATAACGAAGAGCAAACCAGACATGATATCTGAGGTTTAAGTAAGACAAGTTACTTACACTGCTGATTTCTTTACAGCAGTGGTGATAGGAACCAGGGGTCATGATGTCTATAAAACAAATATAGCCATTTTATTTACTATCCAAGACCACCAGTGAACCTGTGTCTTCTGAGTTTTTATACACTGACAGTGATAAATTAGTCAATAAGTTTGCTTTGGGGACTATTTTGTCTTACAACGCCATGCAGGTACCCCTCCGCATGAATAGATTAAAACACATTTGAAGCCAAAACTTAATATATCACAACACTATCAGAATACAGATATCAGGCAACATACATCAAACTATTTCATGTAATAACTTAATGTGAGGAGGCATTAAACTCTTCAGACGTCTGGTTCCTATCACCACCACTGTAAACAATTCTGACCCAGCAAGTTTCTCTAGAACAGAGCATTTCGCACCAAACCACTCTGGGTAGCTCTGTTTACATCTCAACCATTTAATTATGTATATTTTTTTGAGAAATCGGTGGAGTTCCCCTTTAGGTGAGGGGAACAGAGGGAGCAGTTACTTTTTCACACAGGGCCAGAGTGACAAAAAATGTCAAATGTACAACTATTGATAGAATTTCATCCAGTCAGAAAGAGAGACAGTGAGGAATTGATCTATAAATGAAACCCTATTGTTTCTCCTCCACCGCTACAACGCCGCCCTCCTTCAGCGGCTCGTTTAAAAACCGACGTATGACAATTAGGCGCCATTCTCGTGGAACTGCGTCTGATGTCATAACGGTGCTGTTGCCAGCTTTACAGCGCGATCGTGGGTTTAAATATAGTCTACTTTTCTACCGAGGTGTCACCAGCTGCCCTTTACCCCCTCATTCCCAACCTAACGCCGTCCCCGGTTGTATTTTCTCTCAGGGGTGCCGCTCTCGTTAAGGTAGACAGGGTCTGTTGATAGACAGCTGAGCGAGCCAATGAGCTCCCCCTGCTACGGGCGCGGTATCTGAGGAGCCAATGGGCGGCGGTGGTGGGTGGGCCGAAGCGTCGCGACGCCGCTTGCTGCCGGGGTAACGGAGTTTTTGGGGTCGTGAGGAATGTTGCCGGTGAAGTAGGATCTCCCGCCATTTTTCAACCAGGCTTATTTGTTGTTCTGAGCTGATATATCCCGCAGCGGGAGGCAGACGGTGTCGGGAGCTCCTATAGCACGGGATAAGGAGATTGCCCGTCACCGCGGGGGAAGGAGAAGGCCGAGAGCATTGTGGGACGGTTCAGAAAGCGCGCCATACGCCCTCGGACGGACGCCTCTGTTTTCCCGCGAGTCGGAGGGGCCAGTCGCGCCCGCGTCCCGGCTTTCAGAAGCTTCCCCTCAGCGGCACAGCCGCCTCTCTCCCTTCGGACAGCTTAACGTCAGCAGATCGGTCGCTGGCTATGCTGCAGTCGGCTC